TACACTTTCGTTTTTCACCCCTAAACTGGGTCAGTGAAAAGCTGCAGACACTTACTGTAGTTTGAGAGAAAAGAAATTTAATTTCAAACCCCCCAACACATATTTTCAAGGTAAACATAGGCCTTGTGCTTCATATAACCCTCCTGTTATCCCTGCTGTGCTAAGTTCCACCTGATACCAAGTCACATCATGAGAGTATTTGCATTTTGCGAGGAAAGAGTAAGGGAGAAATTAAAAAGAAGATTAAAACATCTGTTTTTTTCATCTTTTCACCTACCTTGTTGTAAATGTAGCAGTTGGTGAACATTGTGTTGAAGTCCTGTATGCACTCACTTGCACTGCGGTAGAAGTTGTTCTCCAGACGCTTTTTTATGGTCCCCATGTCCATGGGTTGTTTGATAATTTTATGGTAATCCTGAAAAAGAATGAGAGACAAAAGTTTTGTTTTTTTTCTTTTTTATTAAAACAAAAAACAGAACGCTTCTTTCCAACATAGTTACATGTTAAAAAACTGTTTTGTTTATTTTAACATCTTGAGACACACAAGGGGATTTTAGGAAGCTGTCAACTAGCCAAACTGAAAATCAAAAATTAACAAACTATCAGAAGGAACATCAATTAGGGGATATTTCCTTCATCATCTGAGCCTTGGCACTACCATGAATTGCAGAAACATGAGTACAGCTCATCAACATGAAAGTGAAAGTAGAAAGTGAAATTAGAAGGTGAAAGTCTCTTTGTTAAAGCCCCACTGTTTAACCCACCGGTAGGTTAAGCCTGTAGGCATCCACAGGCTCATGGAAAGGCCAGGCAAAGTGGTGCCTCCACAGAGACTTCATCAAGGTCTTCTGCAGGTACTGCAGCTGGTTGGTCATGCGGCCTGGCCGGCTGGGATCCTTGACCGGGGGCTGTGGTGGGATGGGGGGGCCCTGGGGCATCGTGTGCGGCAGAGAGGGGCTCTCAAAGTCCTCGTACAGCAGGGAGGGCTTGCGAATGCGCTTGCCCGAGCTGCTATGTTGGTCCATCCCGCCACCAGACAACCCGACCAGGGAGCTGAAGTGAAGGACACCGAAAGGCCAGAGGATGGAAAAAGATAACAAGAGATTTTATGATGAAGGTTTAATAAAAAAGGAGAACAACGAAACCATCAGTGTGTGGGAATTTAAAGACACACAATGTCCACACACAGCGAGAAAGAAATGCCTGCTAGTGAAGGAAATCATCATAAAGCTCAATGTGCTGCACGACTTTTTCAACCTTGATTGATGCAACCACGGATTCACCAATCTGCCATCCACTAGAACAATGGCACGCACTCATGGAAAATCCGCTAATGTCAAACGGTGCCGCCTATACATGCTTCATTCACATAACCCATATGACCAATGAAACCACAGCTCTGCCTCCTGGTCAGCTCAACATCATCTAGGAAACTAGGCCTCTATCAACAGGCTGCTACTTTTAGCACAGACATGGGAACCGCCATCACATGGGTCCTCACCACCTAAAAAACAAACATTAACTTCTAATAAGGCTGGGTGATAAGACCACCAAAACTAAATAAACATCATATATTATCACATTTAGCTCACATGAACACATGAAACAGCTTTATTTTTAAAACTGTGGCTCATAAGTATATTATGAATCATGGGAAAAATAGGCTTCGATGTAGCACTAATTCCAAACCTGTAACTGGTAATTCAATTAAATATATTACTCTCTCATGATAAAGCTACAACAACTAGTCAATTCACACATGACACAAAAAATAAATACTTGCTAGCCCTGCACTTTTCTATGTAAAATTGTTAGCTCTGGTTTCTTCCCTTACATAAAAGGAACGAATGTTTTTAATACTCCTGCCTATACCCGTGACTGACGCACTGTGGTCTTACAGTTGCAGGTGAGAAAAGGAAGACTTAAAATGAAAATGCTCTACAAGTCCCACAATCTTCAGTCTTGGCTGTGGTGCAACAAAACTACACAGAGCATGTTCTACGTAACAGAGGTCTCTCAGTGCATGTAGTCAAAGACCCACTAAGCAGAGCACATGAACCAGATTTAGAAAAGTTAAATCTCATCCCAGTTCAGGACACACACCTGCTCCACTGACACACAATCTGCGGCAAAGCCTGTGAGCTGATTTTCTACATCAATCAGAATCCCAGCAACACAAAGAATGGCTCAACCACATTTGTTTTAAGAAAAACATGAGCCATTGTGTAATGAATACATTACAATATAAACTTTCAGTCACCTTATATTTCATCTTTATGGATTATTTATCAAGTAATGCGATTGTAAATTAACTTGAAATAAAAGTGTGAATTAAAATGTTTTGTGACTCTTCATTTTACTGGAAATGCGTGTCTTGTGCACCCGTGTCCAACAAAATACAAATTTAGGATCTGTTAAATACAATTGTCCTCTATAGAGTTATGAGGTTATGTCCAATAAAATTCAAAGTCATAAACTTTTGTCAAAATGCGAGATACACCGACAAATCACAAGCGTAATAATGATACTTGGAAACCATAAGAATCGTACCGAGCTTTATATTCTATGACCTAATGGTTTATTATTAGAAAACACTTGCACAACTCCATGACTGTAACAAATATGGCTTTGTTTTTTTTTTTGTTTTTTTTTAAATCTGCATTGAATCAACTTCTGCTTCCACTTAAATGCACCATTACTGATACAACAGAGCCTACTACAAACCATCTTTACCATTTAATCCAAGCGGTGAAAGAAAAACCAGACCCTTGCATTTGCAATCCAACAGCTGAGGATCGCGTGGTTTGGACGCCCCGCCCTCACTGTTTGTAAACACTGCCTCACAATGACAGAAACGAAAGACGGACAGCGATTTTCTGTCAAAAAAAAAAAAAAAAGCAAAACCACGAAGCCTTACCTCAACGGCGCTGCTTCATAAAAAGATCGAAACATTAACCGGTCAGTCGATTCCTCTCATTTTGCTACAGCATACAGACAGTTCGACGTTTGCTAACCGAGTGCTAGCTCCCGTCACCGGACCGCAACAATGCCTGACAAAGCTATCTGAGGACTGCCACCTTTGTGCATATTAGAATCTGAGTGTAGATGCATAAGGAACACGGTATTTACTACGAGATACTTAATGTGATAGTCTCATGAGCCGCGGGATTAGCCTTAGCAGGGTGTCTGAGCAAATGAATGACAGAGAGCCGGCGGGAGCAGCCGGCTGACCCAGCCGGTGGGGCTGCAACTGTCATTTGTTTCCCCGATGCCAGCTCACCTGTGAAGCTAAAAGCTAAAATAAACAAGTCCAGAAATTTAGCGACATTTAAGCAGACATTCAGCAAGTCGTGCTGAGATATTCTGTTGTAAAAGCGAACAAAATCGGTGTGTCTTCAGACAAGCTAGCGTTGTTATGGGGAGGCTAACGGTAACGGTAACGTAGCAAGATGACATTTAACGTTAGTCCACCTTCATGGGCGCTGCAGCGCCAACAAATCGTCAGTTTGAATAAAAATGCTGCGGACATTACCTGTCGTGAGGCGGGTTGACGGCCGCTTCCATCGGGCTGAAGGCGGAGTATTAGTACGATCCAATTTTTCCACCTCTGTTGACGCTGCACTTCCACGGAAACACCACTGAGCTCCTCCGCAATGAAATGGCGCCTCTACGCTTCCGTTTGACCCTATATAAACCCACCACGTGGCAGTTTTGCGTATTTCCTGTCACGTTCGTGCTGATTCTGCTCTCTGATTGGCTGTCAGCAGACGTCTGTCAAACAGAGCACACGCCCCTCATTCCACGGTCGGTACATCTTGTTCTCTGTCATGTATTTTTGAATACAATAGGAGCAGGCGTCGCACTGCGTTAAATTGCTTTCGTTTTTAGACTTTTGCACCATTGTAACCACAAATACGGCTTTAATTTTACAGACGAATGTCCTTCTATCTACAGGGAAAGGTGTTATGATGTGTTTATGTTATCTGCAGTATCTGGGCTGCTGATGCAGGACTTCTCTGCCTTATAAAATACCTTCGGATTACCTTTTGGTAACTCTTCGTATTTTTATGGACAGTATGAGACTGACAATTATTTTGGCCTGGGTCATATGTGTGGACAATCAGAGAGCTGAAAACAAAGTTGGATTACCAACCAGGCAAAGTGGCCAACTGCCCAGAAGCTGTGTCAAGGAATGAACACAGAAAATCTCAGGCAAGGTTAATATTATTCCATCATAGCAGAACTGAAAGGCAACCAATAATCATTATCAATAAGTGTGACAGTTATTTTCTTCAAAAATCGGTTGATTGATCAGTGTATAACATGTCAGAAAATAGTCCCATTACTATTAATATATTCAAATTACTTAGCTTTGTGAGACCAACAGATAAAAACTCCCAAATTTTGTGTTCATTATCATAGAAAACTAGGGAAACTGGCAAATATTCACATTTGAGAGGCTGGTACAAGTGAACTTGTTGTTTCTGGTTGCCTGAGAATGCCATGTATGTACCATTTATACATGTACCATGTATTGTCTCATGACATCCCAGGGGGTTAAACTGACAATGGCCATACATGCTTTTTTATGTGATATAATAATAGATATCTATTAGCTTTTTTAAAACAGAAATTATTAATCTGATTACAGGTGCTGAAATTGTGGCATTGTCTATGCTTTCAACAAAGACCCTTTGACAGAATTTAACTATAAGTGTAGCCACCACCTCTGCCTGCTGAATGCCTGTTTGAAAAAATCTTTCAAACCCCAAACTTGATGACTTCAGGGTTTTTTTTCTTAAAAATGGTAAACCTCACTCCTGAGCCATTTTCAACTTACCTTCACGTGTAAAATTGGTGGAGTGCCCCTTTACATGCAAGCAATGTTAAAAAGTGATAAAACAGTGCCCCAAATGATATGAAAAATAATATACAAAAAACATTTCCATAAAAGCAGAAAGCAACAACTTGTGTGCAAAAATGATAATTTTTCCATAAAATGAAACTTTCACAGAGATTTATTGTATCTCTAGGGAGGCAAAAAAGAATGAATAGGTTAAGTTATTTACATAGCAAAAGCACAATCAACAAATATTTGACCAATATGAGAAATATTTACAGCTATGAAATTTAGAAAACAATCAACCTTAAATACTGCAATATAAAATGTCTAAAGTCTAGCTGATTCATCTCTTCTACATCTACGTTTGCAACATGTATGAAGCAATGCGGTACTCGTACATGAACTGAAGGGTTGGGGGTTCGATCCTTGGCTCCTTCGGTCTTCATGTCAACATTTCTTGCCCGTGTGTCGTGGGGCAACATTGTGCCAGTAGCTCCCTACCATAAGTGGGTGTGTGAATCAAAGGCAAATTGAAAAGTGCTATGGACAAAAGCATTTATTAAATACATCCATTTAAGATGATTCCCAATCACACCCATTGAGATCTGGACTTGGGCATTATGAAAATATATTCCATGGGACAATTTTAATTTGTCCACCATCTGAGATTTTGCCCCTACCATTTACACAATGGTAGCTACCCCCTTCACACTGTATCCGTGGTTGCTTCAGACCATTGTGGGCAATCATGCAACTCGATGAGCAGGACTGCTTTGTGGAAATATTGACTTTCTATGATTTTTGAATCACGTGTTTCATTACTAGATAAGGCAGAAATAGACAGTCACGTCTGATTATTTGATCCATAAACAGAATTTTGATGAGAATGTGAACTATATTTTGATATACAGAATGTCCATATCACAATATAAATTTAAATGTATTGTGTTTGAAGATTGTGTCTGTATCGCCCTGTCCAAATGGGCCCATTCTTCCTGGAGCAGTTGGGGGTCAGACGCCTAGCCCAGGGGTTGCTGACTGAAGGGTACAATCTATTTTTCCAGTTAGTTTTTTTACATCCTGGAATTCCGGAGTAGGGATTTCTGGTACAACTTCACCTATTTCCAAGGTGCATGGAGAAGGGAAAAAAGTCTTAAAGGGTCAAAACTCTACCAATACTTGTAGTTAAAAGTATGGTCTCACAATATAGTTAAATATAGTGCAAGTGGAGCTGGAGTTTTGACCCTTTAAGTCCGAACTTTTAATCAGCAACCCTCCTGGAACTCGACTTCTAGGCTTGAGGGCAAACCACCGCCCCAACGTATCACTGTGTATCATTCCTCTCCTCTTCTTTACGGTGAAAGCTCATGTTCTGCTTTTTCACCAGTTCAGCATAAAGGCCTTGTTTCTTCAGCAGCTCACCATGACTTCCCTCCTCCTTTACCATGCCCTCATTGAGGACAATTATATGATTGGCCTTCTCTACAACACTCATCTTGTTGGATATCAACAGCACAGAGCAGTTGTTGGATTGGTTCAACAAAGCTTGGTGGACCTGTTAAGTACAATCATGACTTGGTGTTACATGCAGAAAAGAGTTGTAAATTAATGAGCGAAAATTTGAGAAACAAAATAATTTCCTACCTGGTATTCATTCTCTGTGTCCAAGTCACTGGTAGCGTTGTCCAGTATCAGGATTTTGGGACGTCTGATTAAAGCTCTAGCAATTGCAATGCGCTGTCTCTGGCCTCCAGACACCTGGCCTCCCTTCTCTCCAGCATCTATGCAACAGAAGGACGTGTTTTTATTGTGTACATCCTTGTGGAATAGGAAGTGTCTTGCATTAGGCAAGACCACAAGGCTGAAATGCTGTTGGTTCCTAGAGCACTTAATTAAATTCATAAGCCGTTCCACTAGTGTCAGCAGGATTTCTACAGGGTTCATATAGTTAAATTTCAGGCCTTGTGTAAGATCTTTTTAATACCACATAGAATGCAATTGAATAACTATAATATGGCCCAGAATGATTTACTACTGATTTACACATTTTTTCAGTACTTCTCAGCAGTATATAACATTAATCTTTTATGACATAATCAGTTTAAGTAAACTGACCTGATGGATGGATTAACTAATTAAAAAAATATTAATGCAATTAGTTCATTAAGTTTTTGCTAATACTTGCCCATTATGGTACAAGGGGTGTCCTAGTTACTGTAGCTAGCAGGAGTGAGTGCGCTTGCTATAGCTGTGTTAGCACAGACTGTGAACACATTCCACTGTCACAAACATCTCACTTGTAGTTTGTAAGTGTGTAACATCTGCTGGCAGCCTGCAATCTAATACAAAAACATTTTATAACTAATATTACTCCCTATGCCAAGCAAGAGAAAATATTTAAGATATTTATAAATTAAATTTAAGACTTTAATATCTTCTAAGGTCTTTTTTGAGGAAACTGAATTCCAATACATTTTAGACTAATAAGAAAAGTTATTACAAATTCTTCCAGAAAGTCAAAATAGCCCCTGTGAAGAACTCACACACTCCAGGAGTGACTCTTCTAGTTGCTAGACTTTGTGGGACAAACCTGTGTCATATTTATTTGGAAGTTCCAGGATGAATTCGTGGGCACTAGCCAGCTTGGCAGCCTTGTGCATCTCCTCATCAGAGGCGTCCATGCAGCCGTACTTGATGTTCTCCCGGACAGAGCGAGCAAACAGCACACAATCCTGGCTCACTACAGCCATCTATAAACAGGATGAAGAGGAAACATCAGTGGCAGAGTAAGTGTCACAGCTGACTCTAAGAATGCTTTACAATGAGGGAAACCGAGTAGGAAATTTCAATAAACTGTGATTCACCTTCCCTATATCATCATCCCTGTACAGCTCTGGGCTAATTTAAATGCACAATTTACTTACATATTTGCCATCTTAAATCTTAGTCAATTTTTCCAGTATAAAGACCTAATAAACCCTTCAGGGTGTCAGTACCTCACCTGCATAGGTAGTGGTTTAGAAAGTCTTTTAAATCTGTATGTTCAAATAAATAGTACAGTAGTTAAAAAGGGTTGGATGGTAGAATTCAGCAAATCATCTTCAACATCCCAAAGAAAAGGTCCCGAAAGATTAAAAGCTCCTTGCAGTCTTTACTGTTCATTCTTGTGCTCAATTTAAGTCAAATTATATGTCAATGTCAGCTAAATGCTAAAAGTTTCTCATGCAAAATGCAAAACATATTGACTGCTTAGTACACATGTTAACCACCCACCTTGTCATGTAGGTACTGGTCTGCGTAGCTTTGCAGTGGTTTCTCATCCAGTAGGATCTCCCCTGCTTGGGGCTGGTAAAACCTCTCCAGCAGCTTGACGCAGGTGGACTTCCCTGATCTGTTAAGTCCCACAAGGGCAGTGATTTGGCCTGGTTTTACCTCCAGAGACACATCCTGGTGGAATGGAGGATGTGTTAAATTGGTAGAGAGTCATATGTGATTAAGATCAATTTAATTTTACACATAATAAAAGCACAGGAAATACGCACATACCTTAAGCACAAGATTGTTTTCTTCTGTGCTGCCAGAATAGGAAAATCTAACATTTTTGAACTGAATGTGTCCCTTAAGATTTTCAGGGGCCAAGGTGCCATCTGGCGGTACTTGAGGTTTCCGATCCAAATACTCAAAGATCTTTTCAGAAGCACCTATTGCCTTCTTCACTTCAGGGTAATAACGCATGACAGCCTGGAAGAAAAGTAGGAATGAAAGTTGAGCAAAACTGGGAACTGACGGTGGGATACTTTGAACAAAACAATTAGCTGGCTCTTGGCCTGTGGCTCACCTCAACTGCAGAAGCAAACTGTAGCTCATAAAGGACGAATGACACCAGGTCTCCACTGCTAACGGTGCCCCTGGTCACAAGAGTCCCTCCATAGTACAGAATGAACACCTTCAGGGCCAAAGTGGTCATCTGAGGGAACATAAAAACAGCTTTTATTCACATTAAAGGGACTGAGTGAAATGGAAAGTTTCAATTCTTTAAAACAGCCAGTGACACTACAAACACTACACTCACAGATAAAAACAAGCAAAGAAATAATTGCAAATACTTTATGACACAGGTCAGTATTCAACTCACGCTGTTGGCCCAGGTAGATGCTGCATAGGCTGCTGCTTCCTTTTTATTAAGGGCGTAAGTGTCCTCCAGCCGCCATCTGTACCTCTGTGTCTCACCATCCTCGTTGGCGAAACTCCTCACTGTCTTCATGCAGGAGAAGGTCTCTGTGGCCACCTGGTTGGCTTTAGCCAGTGACTCCTGAACCTTTACAGCCATAGTCTGAAACATGGATAGAAGTCAAAAATAGACACAATTCACTTCAGAGAAAAATCATCTTTGACTTATTTATTGTTGAAACTGATCATTTTTATGCTCAGGGTATTTTTGTGATAATAATTGTAGTGATTCAAGGAGGTGTTTTTCATTAAAGAGTATGGGAAATTTGGGGGAACTCATCTTTACCTGGTGGAAGTGTCCAGTGAGTTCGGGTATGACCCATATGATGGGAAGTCCCATGCAAGTGAGTAGGGTCATTTTCCATGACTGGCTCACCATGAAGAACAAGAGGAAGGCAAAACGCGCTGTGTACCACATCACGAGACTTAGTTTCTCACTCAGCGCCTCGCTCATATCGTTGGTATCCGTGGTAATGCGAGACACCAGTTCACCTGAGATAGGAGTCGTACATCAGTATGTGTTCAACATGTTGTTCAAATCATTTACATTTCTGGTTTATAAATCTGGTATTTTTTTTGTCCTCACAAATTATGTCAATTACTGTATATCTGATAGGAAATTCAAAACAATCAAGGAACTCAGGTTGGCCTTGATAAAAATAAAAGCAAATCCCATAAGTGTGAGGAAAAACAGGTTGAGGATTTATTCTCGATGACCTACTTAAAGATAACTTTGTGTTGGCACAGTCGTATGCACAGTGTGTACATGACTCACCTGTTGATGTAGCATCAAAGAAAGCAATCTCCTGTTTCAGCACAGCCTGGAAGACAACTCCCTGCACTGAGGTGTGTATGCGGCTCATGGTGACGTTGTACATGAGGTCACACACAAACTCAAGCACAGCACTGAAACATACAACAGAGGACACATTACAGTGTAAAGTACACAGAGAAATCAGTACAAGGATATTATTACACTATCATCTCAAGTGGAAAAACATGTTTTCTTAATAAGTTATCCATAAAGAGAAATATGTAGAAAGAAATCATTATTTTAATTCTTCCTCTCAACCCAAAGCTGGTGTTTTTAATGTAAAAATTTAAAAGCATATAAAATCTGGAAAAGGAGCCACAGCTCAATTATTTTTGGGTTGTAAAACTACAAACTGCGCCACTAAAGATGAAGATAATGATAAGACAACATTGATAACATTTTATTTAAAATTAAATAAATCTGAATCTAATATAAAATACCCTTATTGAAAGTTATGCCAGACAGATTTTGTATTTTGCTAAATAACTGCCTGAAAATTTGCTCTTTAATGGAAAGAGAGGACATAAAGATTTGAGATATTGACAATTTTTGAAAAGTCTGAGTTTAGCAAATTTCAATATTTTACAAACTTAGAACCAGTAATGAGTGAACTTCCCTGATACAAAGGTTTCATTACCTGGCAATGGTCATTAATGTCATGACTGTGATGGCCTCTGTGAATGCATCAGGTGCTTCTTCATTTATGATCCAGTCAGCCACGCGACCAGTGTACTGAGGAATAGCCATCTCACCTGAGATCAGGAGATCACATCATCACAATATTAATCTTTGGTGAAGAAAGACTGTCAGTCTAATTGCTGTTAGATTGACCTAAAGAGTCAACAGAGACAGAGGAGTGGATATATAACTGGTTGTTGATAGTCTACAGCTGAAGCAACCACTTAGACTTTTGCACATTCCTAATTGCCAACTGGTATAATTTCATTTTATTGACATCTATTATTATCAGTTATACTATTGGGTATTAGGTTATTAAGTTAACTGGCAAGTGCCAGATGTAAAATATGTTCCTAACCTCTACTTTAATTTAAAAGAAAACAGGTGTGCCGTCATACATAGTTATAATAGTTAATTTTGAATAAGCTGTACTCTTAATTAATACCGCCTACTTTGAGTAAAGCTGCTGACAACACAGAAATAGTAGTTGCATGATAGCACTACATAGCACATCATTTAAATTAAGATGATGTCTCACTTACCATAAGAAGAGAGGACCACCAGAGACAACACTGCAACAAAGCGCCAGAGATAGGGCCTCATGTATCCCATCAGTCTCTGCAGAGAGGCACCAGTGTCATCTTTGGGATCCTCAGAGGCCGTCTTCGTGAACAGAGATGAGACGTATCGACCCCAGGAGAGCAAAAGAGATGACACATATCGGCTCCAGTAGAGCCAGGCCACTACTGTCACAACATAACCCTGTAACACCTGCAAAAGAATTACAGGTTTAATAGACAAATCCAGAAAAAATACATAAATCAAATACTGCTTCACATGGCAAATGTTAAGATCAAGAGAAAATGCATCAAAAATAACTAATAGCTTTCTTGTTTCCAAAAATTGGCTCTTCAGACTGGTTTGGTTTTGGTTTCAGTCTTGTTCCTGTTCCAGGCCCTGTAGCAACAAAATCTCAACCATAATAAGTAATTTGATCTTTCTGTGACTGGCTATATAATCTTGTTTGTCAAACAAACATTGTCATAAATATACAAATAAAGTGATTAAATTCCACTTCTCTCTAAAACAATAACATTGAAAAAAAGCCCCTGTATCTTAACACATCTTAATAGACTAAACAGAGCACACAGCAGATTAACCATGTATGGAATAATTGTCCAATACTTTTGGTCATTGTTTCACAAATGCAAACATCAGATTCTCTTATCTAACTGAATACTTTGGGGGTTTTGTTTTGATGGCTGACCAGACTAATTAAGAAATGATAAAACAACCCTTAATGGCCGACAGGTAGATGAGGCCAACCAGTAAGCAAAAGGTTGCTGGGTGCTAGTATGAGCTAGGAGCAGCACCTGAAGGTGGTGGTTGCTGTGTGGCAAGGTGCTGTAAGTTCCTTTTGTGCAGCAGAATGCCTCTGTCAGTGTCAGACTGCAAAATCTTTGTTACAAAATCTGGAGGAAGGAGAGGTCATTTTAAGTACTTTACACTGTTAGGTACTAACAATGCACTGTATTTTATAAACTCATTACAGGTTTTGTTTGTAAAGTCTTAATATGCAAAGTAACCAGTAATTATATTTTTCCCTCTGAATTGTGGTAAAGCAAAACTACTCGTAACAAATACTTATGTACAGCACACATGCCTAAACTGTACTTCGCTACAGTATTTGAATAAATGTAAATGTTTAGTGCATTTCTGCCAGTTCATGTCATCACTTTCTGTTTATCATTTCATTTCCTGGTTTGGATTGTGGGTGAAAAACCTGTTAGCAGCTGAACTGGAGGTCTAATATCTCAGACCTTTTCACCAGCATGTGAAAATACACCATGTTCTGAGACCAACAAGGCATCATGGGCCTTGTTCTGGATCTGTCACCCCCAGTAACATACTAACATGTCTAAAAATGTGTTAAGAAAAGTAGTGTGTTCTACTGTATCAATGTGATCAACCGTACGACAGATCATGGTTTTAAACACACTAGTATAACAACCAACAAAACGCAGCCACCCACCCTTTCCCATGAGTGCCACCCCCACAGTTCCTCCACGACCGGCTGCCCCAGCGCCCAGAGAAGAGTGGTGTACACTGGGAAGTTGAAGCAAAGGACCCCTAAGCTCTGGAGCCCCTGAAAGCTGCTCATCCACGGCAGGCTTCCAGGGTAGGTGAGGATGAGGAAGACAAAGAAGCAGGCCCGTATCGCCGCTCCTCCCCATAGGGTGAGGAAAGGATGGGAGAGGAGGAGAGGGGAGAGCTGTGCCAGGCCGATGGCTTGCAGCACACACACATCCAAGCACACGAAGAGCAGGGGGGAGAAGTAGCTCATTTTCTGCATAATGCACAGGTTCTGCAAATACAAGTTACAGGTAGGGTCAGTGGCAGGGTATTCAAATCAGTGAGGTTTTATTGGTGACACTCACATCAGTGCTCAAAACTAAAACACGGATTATCTGTGGCCTGAAAACATGTAGAATACAGCTTATCATTTTCATATCTACCCCTTCCTAAGTACATTAACCTATAATTTACACTTACATGACCTTAATTGGCAATAGTGAGAATAGAAGTAACTTTTTGTTTGCTGCAGATGGTATGATGCGTTTACTTTCATTTTCACCTACACTGCTGATTTCTTTGAAACGGTTTGACAGTGATCCTACCACAAACACACACGTAGGAATTAGCTTAACACATAAAACCACAATATTACTATTCGTATTATTAAGTCACAGTCTATGCTAACCTACAGTAAACACAGCAACGTTAGCTAGCCACGTTTAACTAGTATCAGTACAGCTGAGGTAAATCCAACTTACGTTTCCTTTCGACGAGACAAGTTTGCTTAATATTAGCCTGAGAGCTTGAAACGAGTCTGATATTATTCCCGACAGATAAAAACTGTCGGTTAAGAAGCTAACTCCTGACCGGCCACCAACCCAGACGTTGAGAGAGCCACGACGGTTAAGACTGAAACCGAAAGTACGTTAACTATTTATATCCTTTGGAAATAAGGAAAGTCCCTCCTTTTTATGGCTATCTCTTCTACAATGGTGTCCGAAGTATTACGAGGGAATTTGCTGCGAGTAGAACCGTATTTTATTGTAAATCCTGCTGTCATAAACTTATTCAAATAAAACAACGATTATGTATGTTACTTTTAATACAGCACAACTGTGATATTATCTGCGTGGTTGGTCTCAACCTGGACCATCTCCAAACAGCCCAACAGCGACACCATGTGGCGAAGAGCTGAAACTGCCTTTATTCGTTTATCACGTGAAATAAAAATAATAACAACGATAATAATGACTAGTAAATTCCTGAAGAAATTTTGAACGTGCCTGCTGTTTGGTGCGTATCCATCACACACGTTTCAATCTCTACAGAAGACTTTACTTTGAGTTTCATTCATGTTGTAGAGAATTATCCTGACTCTGACGTCAGTCACCGCAGGTATCCCTCAAAAAGCTCTTTGAAACCGTGAGGACTGGCCAAAGTCACCTCACAATGACGGTTTCGAGCCTAAATTTGTCCCCACAGCCATAGCAAGACATGTACATACACACACGTACAGGCCCTAACAGAAGCTGATCTGCAATAAAGCTGCTGTGACTTCTCCTGTTAGAACAGAACAACATGGACAACAGTAAAAAAAAAAAAAAAAAAAATTCCCTGAGTTAATTAGTCTAATTATTATTTATTATGTGACTCACCATTCACACTAAAAATAAAGATTTGAATAACAGTAGTGTCAATGCCCCAGCATTCACACTAATAAGTATGCAGGATAGTAATATATGCCTTCAATTGCATTTGTTATTGTATTGCAGGCACATAATAAATGGGAGCCTATGTTTGCCTTGCTGCAAAAACAATGTCCTATATAACCTAACAGTATAAATTATAATGTAATCGCTTCTGCCTAAGGTTTATTAACCTCTTAAATGTAAAATTAAACAGTAGTTTTATCTTATTCATGTTGTCACAGCCTTACTTATTTTGATTCTTTATTTTTTATGTAATCTCTCTCTGTTTATATGTCAATCTTATCTGAATATTAAACAAACACTGTTAAAGGTTTTTAGGACCAAACCATGACTCACTGAGCTGGTGTACAAAAGGATTTTTTTAAAATGCCATTGCAGCATAGCAGGATTAACCTGTTAGAGTGGCTCAGGGCAAAACCCTACTGTTTAGCCTCTATTTACACCACTATCACCACCATCTCCCATCTGCCAGCAGTGCACACAGCACTGTAGATACATGCTAGCTTCATTATTTCATAGACACCCAGGAACCAGCCAGTACAGCCTAGTCATACACTGGAATAGAGCTCGATCCTACAGAAGGTTAATCTGCAAATATCTTGACAATTAAATAATCATCAAAGTATTTTTTTCAGCAAAAATAGAATAAAGATTGCCTACTTCAGTCTTCTCAAATGTAAAGATTTGTTGCTTTTCTCTGTTTTATATTTTTATAAACTGAAAATCTTTGGGTTTGGGACTGCTTGTCAGACCAAACAAGAAATCTGACCACGTTTGGTGTATTTTTCAGTATTTTATGACTTTAAATAATCGATACATTCATCAATAATGAACATAATCATTAGTTGCAGCCCTGTGTGGCCCTGTGGCAGTTGCCAGCTTTGCTTGGCTGGTGATCTGGCCTTGAGTTAGAGACTGAAGCCTCCAACAGAAACTTTGAACTCCCTGATAGCTTCCTTCCTTTCCCCTGCTTTCATGTTAGAAGAATGGGATGAGCAAAGCTATAAACGCTGTTGCTATTTTAAGCAGCCTCTTTGCAAGCCACTATAAATCACTAATGCTTAGAATAAGTTTCCTTCTTTGTATTTTTTGAAAATCCAATCCAATCTGTTGTCAGATCTTTATTAATTTGATGGAAGGTTACAATTTTGAGGTGGTCCACCACATTTCATTTCTCCACTACATTTATTTGACACCAATAGTTACTGCAAGATTTTAGACCCAAACATATGACCAGTTATTATAGATTTAACTATCCAGCAGTTTATACATGAGCCCAGCCTCGGCTACAGCATTAAAATGCTTCCTACATCTTTCAGTAATGATAATCTAATAATGTCAATAAATATGTATGGTGGAGAAGGTTTTGCAATACAACACTGTCAAAATACTCAATTATAAGTAAAAGTCTTGCACTGAAAGTATCACGAAAGGAAAGGTATGCAAGCATTATTAATAAGCAACCTGAGGTTTGTTTATATTATAACTAAAAACTAACACATAATTTACAGGCTGATTCCAGCATTTTAAGACTTACAGTGTTAAAATTTGAATTACATCCAATAAATAAATGAATGTATCAGAGTTTCTCCATCAGAATTCTGCTTTGAAACATCTTTTAGTCCTTAATGTTGGGAAATCTACCAGTCACAGGGGCCATTCTTCTGCAAAATAAGTACTTTTACTCAATATACTGAGTATATTTTGCTGATAGTACCTCTGAATTTTTAATTAAAGTTGGATTTTTAATACAGAATTCTATAATGGAGTGTTTTTTTTTGTTTGTTTTTTTAATCCATTCATTCTATCATTTATTTCTAACTGCCTGACCACAAACGTGCTGATTTTCCACCTTCGAAGCTAGTGCGCATGCTCAGACATGGCAGCTGCCAGCGAGCGTCTCCTCAGATCCGACACTTCAGATATTTACGAAAATAAAAACCTGAGCTGAAAACTGAGCTGACACATGTTGGGCTTGACAGTCAGAGCCGTGATGGAGTAAACAACCGGCAGCGGGGGAAACTTGTGATCTGATCTGGATGGAACCGACGGGTCTACGAGACGTTTTCAAATGTATAACACTATGTAAGCAAACACCGTGAATATGTGTCATGTTAAAGTGTTTACCGTAGGTTAGCCTGCATGGAGAGTAACTTGGAGTTAGCTAAATATAGGCTAATGTTAATGAAATATCTATCACGACCACCATTACAGCCTTCTTGACTTACCTTTTCGATGAATGTCAGGCCCAGCAACGCCTACCTCTACGTAAGATACAAAACATCTGGCTTTCGACACATGGGTTTGTTGTCTTCCGTTAAAAAGGATGGACAGTGATTTTTTACATTTTTTGTATAAAGACGCTGAAGTTAGCTTGAAGTTAGCTAACGATTCGGCAGTTAAGGGAAACTTATATAACTATATTCTCCGTTTTTTTTTGTTTTTTTTAAATCCATTTACTGTTGTGACAGGGTGATAGATATCCCAGTTAAAGCCTTCACATTGTTTAAAAGCCACTTCGGGATTTGTTAAAGCATCTAGACCACATCAGACCAGGTTTAGCAGATTTTCTTTTTAAATGTGGCCTATATTATTATAGAGAAGCTGGTTGAAAACACGAAAAAATGACAATTTCACTGCTTTTTGTTCACACTCTCTTTGCTAATCTAATCCAGATTTGATAAATCTAAGTGGAGTGGTTAGGGATCTAGACCTGGTCTGGAGGGAGAAAATGCGTTTTAAACAGTTACAGGAGTCTACTTGTTTATCATGTCTAGGTTTTAGTGTAAGTGAGGGGTTTTCATGCTAGACCTGGTCTTTTGTCTGGCTGGAGAAAACACAGTGAAATCAAATGAATCTGAAAGTGGGTTTTTAACAGTGTTACATCATTAACTAACACCCTATCACAACAATACGTACTGCAAAAACCTGCTCGCCCTGTAGCGTAAGGTTTCCTTTAACTCTCCCCTTAACTGCTGAATCAAAGGCCAACTTCATGGTCTGAATGCTGACAGGCTTGCAGTCTGAATGCTAATCACTGAATCTAAAAAGCATGCTAGTGTTTTGCTTGATGCACAAGGCTCCAACAAAGTTTTTGTTATGTTTAGCCATTGCAGCAATGGAGGATATTGGTCTCCTTCCCAAACCCACCAATGACCCCCCTGTTCACAGACCCACAGTCACTGAGACTCTGGGGCTGCACCACATCCCACCAGGTGGGTATGAGCTCAGAGCTCATCACATTGTCACTCTGAGCGTCCCATGCTCTTTAAAGATACACAGCAGTTAATGACATGTCTTAACAATAGGGCTGGATTATCAACCACTGCAGCAGCCCACAGGCCCAGGTTTACTCCATATCATTTACGTTTAAAGAGTTTTATCAGTCACAAATTTGTTGCAAATTATTTAATTAAGTAAAATATGAACTCTGACGACTCCTCCATCCGTCATCTAGTGGTTCTGGGCTGGTACTGTAGAGGGACTCTGTGACAAGATCTACTGTGAAATGCTTCATTTTTTATATTTTCAAGTTTATATTTGCTGATCATTTTTCTTTAATAATTTTGAAAAATGTAAGAATGTAGTGAAAAATATCCCTAATTATTCCCCGAAATTCAACTGAACATATTAACATGTCTGGTTTTGTTTGAGCACAATTCAAAACCCCAAAGATACTGAGTTTACTATTATAAAAGAAATTGAGAAACTAGGAAATACATTTGAGATGCTAGTATCAGTGGCTGACTGGTTAATCAATTGTCAGAATTGTTGCCAATTAATTTTGTATCAGTTGAGGTATGTAGTCATTTCAGCTTTAGGGTAGTCTTGGTATCTGGGTGCCATGGGAAATAATTAAGCTGCCATGTTCTGTATAGTGGAGGTCAGCAAGGGCCCAACCACAAAGTTTTACCCTTGAGCCTGTGTCTGAGCCTGGAGGATAATCCAGCCTTGCTTAACAAGATGCATGTGTGTTGTTCTATCCAGATCATCTACATGTCTCAGATGCAAGCAGGAAATCTGACATGGACAAAGATGGACCATCCAAAAAAAGGTCCCACTCGTTGATAACAGCAGAGCCGCAGATGATTCCCCAGTTTCCTTTACAGAGCCCGTTGCCTCTGGGTACTGACACTAGTAAGTCCCAGTGTGGTGAAGCCCTGTGTAACTCTATAACTAGATTTAACAACTACACCCAGATTGATTGAATAATTGGATCCTGTTTTATCATCCTGTTGTCTGAAATTATTGTGACATAAAACCACTAGTGGAAGAAGAACTCAAATCTTTTACTTTAGTAGAAATATTTGAAAAAAAGAAAAGGTAATAAAATCCAAATGTTACTTATTTAAAAGTACCAAAGTATCAGAATATACTTAAATTACAAAAAGTACTATAATAAATTATGTTTGTTTGATTATATTTTGTGTTATTTGTCTGAATCTGCGAAGTAACTGGTAACTAAAGTCATCAAATAAATGTAGTGGAGTTAAAAGTACAATATTAGTATAAAGTAGCAGTAAATGGAAGTACTCAAGTAAAGTATAAGTACTTAAGTACAGTAATTGAGTAGATGTACATAGTTACTTCCCACCAGTGCATAAACCTGTAACCATTTCCAGCTGGATGCAGAAGTTTGTGAATGTAAACTTATAGCCTGTTAAAGACATTTTTTTTTTTTTTACATGTATGTAAATATAAATCCATAGTACATCTAACAATAATCTGGATCTGGATACTCTTTCTCTCATATATTTTTGGATAGTATATAAAAACTACCTAAGTTAGTCATTTGAAAATGCAGCTGGTTTTTGTTTTTGTTCTTTTACAGCACTTCTTAATACAGCTGCTAAAAATGGAAGCTCTAATTTGGCTAAGGCAGGGGCCTCCAGAAAAACACCCAAAGCCAAAATCGCAGATCCAACAAAGTGGAAGCAAAACAAGCAGAAACAGCTGAGGATGGAGGGAAAAGAATACTTGAGCAAAAGGAAAAAAGACGGCGAGATTGTGACAAAACAGCCAAGAGCAGTTGGACCAAGGTGCACCTCGAATGCATGCAAAAAGGCATCAAACCGGCTTTGCAATGAAATCAACGAAGAAACCAGGAAGAAGGTGTTTGACGAGTTCTGGCAGCACATGAACTGGGCTCAGAGGAAACTGTACGTAGCAGGACAGGTTGACCGTGACCCCGTGGAGAGATCTCGAGCGGTGGGATCACAGTCAAGAAGATCGGTTTCACTCCGTTATCACCTGATGGTGGACGGCAAAAGGAAACAAGTATGCAAAAACATGTTCCTGTCCACTCTGGGGATAGGAGAGTGGTCTGTGCTCAACTGGGCGCAGAGAGGAACAACAAAAAAGGCTGAAGCGAATGAAAACAAATTAGAAAAGAGGCAGACTGTCGCTCAGTGCTCACGACAGAATCCTCCTCCTTCTGCAATCAGTCACACTGTGGACGTCAATCAGGGTGAGTGGTTTTTCTTTTGCCCTTAACACCGATTCTCTTAACGTGGGACAGAACCAATTAGTTGATTTATCGATTAGTCATCCAACACAACAGTTTTGTTGACAGATTAAATGCTATCATTGATCAAGGAAAAATGCCAAGTACATGCTGGTCCTAGCTCCTCAAATGTGATGATTGCCTGTTTTACTCTGTTTTCCGTCACTGTAAGTCGAATTCCTTTAGCTTTATACTGTAACTGCTGGTTGGACAAAACAAGCGATTTCAAGATGTCACATTAGGCTTTTAGGAAATTGTAACTGAATTGTATGAATGTTAAGAGTAAATGATTTGTCATTTAATTGGAAAAATAACTGACATATTAATTGATAATGAAAATAACCCATATCTGCTGCCACTCTCAGTAGCGAACTCATGTAATCATGTTAGAGCTAAGGTGACATATTTAGCACAAGGTCATATTGTTTGCATTAACACTGAAGTGTACCACAGTAATGCTTCATGTATGTTAATTACAGCCAGACCAATAAATCCTCGAGGCTGATATTAGCTTAGTCTAAAAGTAACAAGAAAAACCAAACTAGAGCTGAGATAATTTAACAGTGTCACAATTACATAGTTCGTCCACCAGAGAGCGCTGACAAGTGGATTCATCAACTGTAAAATGTCCCAGTCAGTATGTTTGTGTATTATATGTGTTTGTTTTTAAAAATTACTCAATTAATCATCCCGTCTATAGTTATCAGGTATTTAAACTCCCACATGTTGATATCAGTATTGATCAGAAAAAAATCTATAATGTTAATTATATTTCCCTGTTTTTTACAGAACAAGTGAACGCCACTGATAAAGACAAAAACAGGGCATCAGAACCAGAGGGGTCAGCCAGAAAGAAGTCTCGAGTTGCCAAGCCCCTGACGTGGAAGCAAAATCGACAGAAGCAACTTAGAATGGAGGGAAAACCTTACATTAGCAAACGAAAGAAAGATGGGATGACCGTAACTAAAGCTCAGAGGACAATAGGACCAAGATGCACGTCCAGTGCTTGTAAACGGGCCTCCAACCGCTTCTGTGCCGACTTCAATGAGGAAGCGAGGCACGACCTTTTTACTACTTTCTGGCAGTGCATGAACTGGTCTCAGAGAAAGATCTACGTGGCCGGACTCGTTGACTGTGACCCGGTGGAAAGAACCCGAGCACCGTGGACTCAGTCGAGAAGATCAGTCTCGATGCGATACCATTTGATAGCTGATGGCGACAGAAAACAAGTTTGCAAAAAGATGTTTCTTTCCACTTTGGGGGTTGGAGAGTGGTCAGTGCTTAACTGGGCACAAAATGCATCCCAGCAAGGGGATTCAGAGGAAAACACAAAGAAGCAAACGCAGAGGAAGTCTCGTAAAGCCTCAGAACATATAGTCCTGAAGGAGTTCCTGGAGAGTTTACCTAAAGTGCCCTCTTACTGTTGCGGGACGTCCATCTCCAAGCTGTATCTGGAGCCAGTCTTCTCAAACATGTCCGACGTGTACAGGCACTACTACAACCACTGCTTAGAGAGGAAGACGACTCCGCTCTCTCGGCAGGTTTTCTGTGCAGTATTTAAAAAGATGGATTTGGGATTGTGCGACCCCAAAAAGGATCAGAGTTGTACTTTTGGTGCAACAGGAAACTTGTTTAATGAGCTTTGGGAGGAATACTGCATGGAAAGAGGAGCTTCGGGGCCACAACTAGAGAAAGCGGGTAACCAGTAGAAAAGGAGCTATGTTGGAGTTCTCTGCCAAGTTTCATTCAAGACTTTGCCAAAACGACTCTGTACTTAACGATCTTAATTATATCCCGTTAAGCATAGACACTGGTTGCTTCTTCCAAGCTCACACTGTCTGAATCCGTCCAGTTGTCTTTATGCAGCTGAACAAGTGGAATTGTTTAAGCACTACATGCATTTTGTCCAAGTTGTTCTTTACAATTTAACAATTTGCAATTAACTAAAACATATTAATCTGACAATTTTCTGTTTTGAATTTCAATACATGTGAAAAGTCAAAGCCAAATGTCTGAAAGGACTCCACACTACAAAACTACTCAAGCTATTTGTTTTTATTTATCTACCTCTGTTCTTGACAAGGAGCCATTAGGGCCCAAAGTATTCTATTTTCTTCTATTTTCTTCTGTGACTTTAGAACAAATAACAGAAGCACTGTAGAGTCCTGTCAGAGGCAGAGCATTCACAGTCAAGTTTTTGGACTCAGCAGGAGGACAAAGCATGTGTTTGAATGTGCTTCTACGCTTGTTTGAAAAGATCATATTCACACTACGCCGTCCCCTCACACAATACAAAATAACGGCTCTTCCAACAGCTCAGACACCACATAATGTGGTTTTTTTTTTTCAAGTTGAGCCACTGTAAGAACTACAAATACACACACACACACACACACACACACACACACACACACACACACAAACACATACACATATGGTCTTCGCCCTCCTATTCTTCTCCACACAGTGGCAGGAAGTTGTCCAGATATCCGCTGGCCTCTGAAAAAAAAAAAAGAAAAGCTAGCAAGTGAACAAAGTGGGCTGGGTGGTGTTAGAAGGTGTCGGTGGCGGTGACGGTGGTGATGGAATTGGGCGACTTGACTCAGAGTTAACTGTTCATTGTGCGCAGCAGGGGCTGTAGCTGCACCACAGGGCCGCAGATTTACAACAGTGTGAAGAGCTTTGAGTCGCAGCCGAGCTTCTGCGGATCAGAGGCAGGTTTTACCAAACAGCTGGACTGGACCGCTGATCCGTCTGAGCGGAGGGAGGAAAAGGCCCCCAGCTGCTGACCTGATCAGGCTGAAGATGTTGGTTCTGAGCATGTTTCTTCTGCTGGGACTGAGCTGGACATGTCGGGGTGAGTTAGCCACTCTGTTCTCAACAGATTTATCTTTCTTTCATACATACATGAAACACGCCACTCTTATGACCAGTTTGAAAAACGTTAAATTGATTATTACCATTTTCAAGGACTTGTTAAGGTAATGTGTGCCTGTGTGGTTTACAACATAATATAAATATGATTGTTTACACTGAAGCTTTGTATTTTCACTGAATAATGAATTTTCTGTAAATAGCTTCTCTCCATATGTATTATTTTTAAATATTTTGAAATAGACATACTTGTTTTTCATCATAGCTTTTTCAATGTTCTGTTAAAGACAAAGTGAAAAATCTTTTTACAGTTTAATTTATGTTAACAGCTTAATTTCCTTGTTTTAATATTTATATTTCTTACATTTGTACAATAGAAATATAAGTCCTTATATGAATATAAGGACTTATATTTCTATTGTACATATATTTCTATTCCTTCTGAACCAGGAAGTCCCTCTTTGCTGATCAAGCGAAACAAAAGTGTAAAACACTTAACATGTCTAATTTCAGCTCTATTGTCCATACTTTTTTTCTGCTCTTATTTTATGGTCCCACACACACCTGCCAACCCCATTGTCCAACTCCATCACATTCCTCATTGCCATGGTGATGACCTTCGACCTTTATCAAGTCCCCGGCCCACTCCATTTCCTGTTGCTATTCGCTTCTCCTGGAAACTTCCTGTTTATGTCAGCCCCATTTCCTGTTCCCGTTAACGGTCCGTACCAGGACCCACCTTTCATGGCTTGACCTGCATTGTTATGAATAGTTGCTAATGCTCTGAAACAATGAGTGGTTTGAATATGTGGGTGAGCTGGTCCTGCGATAAAACACAGTGAAAACAGTTTGCATGGTCACTTTGATTACTGTATAATGTCAGGTTCAAGGAGCATGAAAAGGAACTCGACATACAAGACGTTCTTTAGACATACAGCACACTAGACACTAGAGCAGACTCACCACAACAACTGTTTAAAAAAGGTCACAATTTATGTGAGACATCAGACCAATCTGTATTTGTCTCCACAGCTGCATCTAGTGATCCATGGGTTAAGTGTCCAGGCAACAGAAAGTGTAAGGACAAGTTTGCAGACGGGACATGTGACAGAGCATGTATGGAGCCCCAGTGTCTCAGAGACGGCTTCGACTGCCTGAAGGACAAGGGACACTGCAAGTAAAACACCTTTTGTTATCATCTATATCATGAGACTGCAAGTAATATAAGCATTTCCAGTTTAATAGTGAATGTCTTATCCAGGTTATGGTTGTCCTGTCCTATTGTATGCTGGGTTATGTGTTTTTTTCTTATTTGTATTAATCCTGGTTTTTGAATCTTTTTTTTTTTTCACATATTTCAATTTAGCTTTCAGGATGTTTTGATGCTTGTTTCTGTGTTTTGATGTGTTCTTCTTAAATCCAGATTATTTTGTCTAATAATTCTGTCTCTTTCTGTTTATCCTTTCATCCCTCCCCATCGTGGCTCTCAGTCCAGGCCACATCCAGTACTGCCGTGATCACTACGCCAACTCCCACTGCGAGCAGGGATGCGACAGCGCCCCCTGTGGATGGGACGGCAGCGACTGCTTCACACACCAGAGCCCTGTATGGGCTAAAGGCACCATGGTCCTCCACACTAACATCCCACTACAACGTGGCACCTTCTCCAACAGCTCCCTGCTCTGGGCGCTCAGCGTCATCCTCCAGTCGACACTTAAACTGAGAGGGTCCGTCCCCCTCGACACCAACAAGAAACTGTTTGACTATACCTCTGAGGAGCTCATCGACCTGCTGGCTAAGACAACACCGGCTGACTCAAACGGGTGCGTGCTGAGTGAAATGTTACTGGCATTATGATTAGGTGTTTCAAAAATAGTGAGTGCAGTTGTACTTTATTTAACTTTTATTTAGACCTGGCCAAGATGGCAGCTTCAGAAGATTCAGACACAACAATACAAAATCAGGTAACAATAGAACAATTCTGAAGACAGATAATAACGCCTACAAGTGGGCTAAGAACAGAAACATTTAACAGTGCAGTTATTTACAGTAGAATTTACAGTAGTTTGATTATTTCAAGTTCTTGTAATCTGAGATAACTATTGCATCATGAAGTTTGTAAATTAGGGTCGCAGATATATCACAATTCGCCCCAGAGTGGGTTCATAAATAAAAATCTACCAGTGATTCAGTTGACGTATGGACAGAAACAGCTAGCTAACTCTGGAAAGCAGAGCAGAAATTATTGTTTTTTAATTTGGTCACAGATATCAACATTCTGTGAGTCTAAAATCTAACACTGTGCTGATGCATTCACTTACAGCTTCAAAAGCATTAGAAAATAACATCAACATAGTTTTGTCTCCATTAACTGTTCATGAGTTAAGTGAGCCAAATATTAAAGGCTAGGATCTAGAGTACAGATCCACAGCTACACAACACTCTAACATCTGCATAACAATGAGTTTCATATCCATGTGCATTAACACTTCACAACAACGCATTTATGTAAAGATAAAATAAAAGTGGGCCAAACACAGAACCTGGGGAACCCCATTGAGTACAGCAAGCCAGTCTGAACCTGCTGATATGAATATTGACATATTGACATCCATGTCTATCTCTGTAATTGTTTTGCTGAGTTTTTGTTTGTTTGGTAAGAGGGTGTAACATTCTGCGAAGGGCAAATGTTGAAATAGGTCTTTTTACATTAGTATATGTTCCAGATTTGAGAAAGTTAGAGATTCTAATAAACAAATGTGCTTCATGAAACTGGCCTCAAAAATGACGTACTTACTCTCCCACTGTTTCCTTCCTCTCTCTCTCTCTCTTTCCCAGCTCCCTCCTTTTCCTCGGAGTGGACAACAGGCCATGCTCCCCATCTACCTGTTTCCCCTCTGCCTCCGAGGCCGCCAGTTTCCTACGTGCTGTAATGTTACTGAAGCCCACCTCGTTCCCCGCCCTCCCGGAGCTGAAGGCCGTCATCGGTATTAGAGGTGTGGATATAAGAACCGGAGAGGAGGAAACGGTGAAAAAGGAAGTCAAAGGTAGGCTCGCATGTCCTGTGTCCTGCGCACACACACACACACACACACACACACACACACACACACACACACACACACACACACACACATCCAGCTTAGAAATTCATCAAAACAAAACCTTATAGAGCATCTTTCCATTTCCAGTGTGCAGATGTATCAGTCACTGCTGCAGGTTTTCAGTTTTGTTCACATATTTCATCCCTGAGTTTTACAGAGTTACAAATCAAAATGGCAAATAAGGACATCTGGTCAAATTGTCTCTTTTTAAAAAGTGAAGTGGCTCACCTGGGTGACAATTTGGATATTACCATGTTTATGGGTAGAAGTGCTGTGTGTTACGCACTTAACCAAGAGGTTGGTTTATTGCACATGAATAGAAATGTTTTATTTTAAGATTAGACATACTTGGTTTAGGTAGGTTTAGGAGAGGTTAAGTTAACTTAGGTAAATTCACAAGGCAAGGTAGTCAGAGGCAAAAGTACAGGATTTCATTATAATAGATAACTCCTATTTTATCCATGCTACGTTGGGCAATTGTTTGCTAACACAATTGCCAGAACAACTTCACAGTAGAAGGTGATAATATGTCAACATTGTGTTTACGGCTTGTTCTGTTGCTCCAGTGTGGCCTAAACAATCTGTTGGTGCCTTGATATTTTAAAAGGTTAAAACTTATCACCTGCAAAGCCAAGTTATATTCTCAGGTTTAGCAGAAAGAAATAAAATAAAGTTTAATCTCACTGAAATCTGTCACAGATTTACAACATAAATACTTGAGAATTTATGTATTTTTTTGGAAAGTTTAAGATTTATGTCAACTAAAACACAATATTACTATGTGACTGTGAGGAACATTAATCAGATAATCTTTTTATTTTTTTTAATTCTTTCTCTCAAAGAGTCGAAACCTGTGTGGCTATGGGCCGTGGTTGCCATAGCAATTGCCCTGTTGCTGTTGCTTCCCCTGGTGGTGTTCCTTGTGGTGAGGAGGGTGAGACAGCAGCGGGCGGAGAGGGAGGTCAATAACAGGGTGAGACACCGGTCTACGGTCACCGACAACGACGGCAAAGCCAAGTCCTGGACACCACACGCAGCCCACCAAGACCAACGGGTCAGATCCAGCAGGGAGAAGGACAAAATCAGCCTGAGGAAAAAGAAGAAAGCCAAGGAAGCAGAGAAAAAGAGGCGGAGGGAGCCCCTGGGCGAGGACGCCATTCGAATGCGGTGAGAGGAGATGCTTGGAGAGGATGTTTTGTCTGCTGGAGGAATGATGTCATGTAGACAACTATAGTTTATTCCAAAACAAGTGAGAGTTCATCCTGTATAGTGATAACAAAGACCGAATGTCACATTTTCTTGTCTTTTTCGGAACATTTCTCTGCTTTACATTTATCTGTTCACATCACATCTCCCAACTTCACAGCAGCAAGTGAACAATAGCAGCTCAAGAGAGAAATTACTTATAAACTTTTCAACAATTTAAACCTGCAACCGTAAGCAAAAGGCCAATCTCTACTCTTTAGTCCATGACTGCTTATTGTTAAATGATTCATTTTGATTAATTGATTAGACAGAAAATTCAGCCTCAACAAATGTGATTATTGATTTATCTTTTATAAGTCATGGACCCTAACCTTGACCCATGAAGCCATAATGGTTCCAGTTTGATTACAGCTGGGAACCTTTGTTGCATGTCACCGACGCTTCTCTTTCTCTATTTGCCCTGAAGCTGTAAAAGTCTCTGTTGCTGGTGTGTTTCAGGGCCCATGTTGTTCTCAGTAACAACAACACTGCGTGTTGACATTTTGGGTGTTTTGCAGAGCTCTTTGGTGACTCATAAGTTAAAATAAAAAGACAGGAAAAGAAAAGGAAAAGACTACAGGACCGCAGCAGTAGTTTCTTAATCTGCAGCATAAAAACTGTGCTTTTGTTTTCAGGCCTCTCAAAAGGGACCAGGATATAGGAAGTGACACAGACTTTACCCAGAGTTCAATGGAAGACATCAATGCTAGATGCTCCAGACGAGAGGAGGAAGCCTCCATCTGCGACCACAGGACCCAGGAGCAGAAACACTACCGAAATGGACCCTCACAGTCCCGCAGACCCATACAACGTAAGGGGTTTCAGTCATGAATTCATTCCTGGCTCCAAAATTTTTATTCCTCTGACAATCTGTGATCCGTTTTTACTACGTCTAGCATTACTTTACTGTGGCCGCAGCGGTGTTTCTGATTGACTGTGTGTTAAATGAGAGCGTTGTAAACAATCGATTAGTCAATCAAAAGAAAATGAATCAGCAGCATTTTCATTGTAGATTAATTGTTTCAGTATTTTTTAGGCAAAAATAGCAAAAACTTCTTTTGCTTTTTTTTGTGTTTCGTATTGTAAGTTGAATATCGTTGGGCTCTGGACTGTTGGTCGGACAAAACAAGATATTTGAAGGTGTCACCTTGGAGCTTTTTCATTACACTACACCCAAATTTTATAGACCAAACATTTAACTGAGAAAATAATCAGTAGATTGATTGACTATGAAATTGTCATTAGTTGCAGCCTGAAACTAAAAGCCACATCATTTTGTCATCACATATGACACATTCTTAAATTTTGCCAATATTTAATGACAAAATCGGAATCATTTTATTCAACAACTTTAGTAAATGTAAAGAAGTTCATGGAGACACTACACTCATACACATAGTGTAAGAAACTGAGTAAAGCAGGATTCACACTGACATGCTGTGGAGTTACAGTTGGAGACATGAACGATTGCATGTAAACTATACATACCCTTCCATACACAAATCCTGACCTCCTTAAACTGTTCTTGTTCTCTCCTTTAGCTCCACCTAGAGGATGGGAGAGAAACGCCATGCCTCCTCCTCTGCTCAGTCCTCCTCAGCAGGTCTGGCCTTGCCATTACTCCCATGTCTTTTATATAAACGAGGTCATTCTTCATGTTGGTAAAATTTAGATTTATTTATCTGAGTTGTCTTTTTGCTTGTCTGGATTTTTTTTGTCTACTTTTGCTTGTTTTTGCTTCTTCTAAAAGTCTCTTTAGTTTCATGGTGTTTTATTTTTCTGTTGTAGAACAAGTAATGTGTTGTTTTTTTGTTTATACAGACTGTATTATATATGTGTATATGTTGTACATGCGGTTTTTATTCATCGGGATTTGGTTGTCTTTGCAGTCGGCAGAGTGGTGTGGCCCAGATGGGTCTGTGGTTCTGATTCGAGCCGTGCGTAGCGGTCTGGACAGAGTGGTTTTGGAGCTGCTTCGAGCAGGAGTACCAGTTAACAACACTGATCATACTGGTAATGCATCTCTGTCAAAGTCACTCTTATTAGTTTGATGCCTGAAAGTCTGACTCAGCCACAAACCTTAGTCAAATAGTATTTGCATGTAATTCTTGCTGCCTGTTTTCACCTTCTTGAAGTTAAGAACAATGTGAATGCCAGGAACTTTATCCATTTTATGAGACAAGTAGGCTAAAACAGTAATGAAGAATTATGTTCAAATGCAGCGCCATCGTTGCCTGTGCAGTTCACTATAGGATCCAACCATTTTCCTGCAAATGTTATGTCATCACTGATGTCAGGCGCAGAGACTGATGAATTCTGCTCTAACCCCATCATACATTAATTGGCTGCTTTTGTGAATGCTGTTTAATTCTTATCTATAGCCAGCTAACGGCTCAGTGAAGCCTCGTTGAGCTAAATGCTAACACCAGCATGCTAACATGCTCACAGTGACAAGACTGCTTGACATGCTGATATTTAGCAGGTATAATGTTTATCATGTTCACTATCTTACTGTAGCATGCTAGCATTTACTAATTACCAAAACAAATGTTTTACAGTTTTAGGTTTCCAGGTATTTGATCATAAACCAAAGTATTGGATGAATTACAATGTTGAAATGATGATGGCTGGAGGAAAAGTCAAGGGATCAGCAAAGTTATTACAGTTCACCCTGAGAGGGACATAAAGGTCTACACCATATTTCAATGCAATCCATCCAAGAGTTTTTGAGACATGTCAGTAAAAACAAAGAAATGACCAAAGTCAGTTGTAACCACATGTTCTGGGGACGACGAATATCTGTAAAAAAATGGTAGTTTATCCAATAGATGTTGAAAAATTTCAGGCTAAACTGACAGAACCAACATTGCCATCCCTCGAGCCACACCGCTATCATGGCTAATGAAAATGTCTTAATTTTACCTGTTCACTTGCCATGTTTGAATACCATGCATGAATAGGTTAAAGCCCACCTGGGAGAGAAATAACATGTACAGCTCATGAGCAAGCCATTATTTTCTGACACCTGTACACTGAGGGGTTGAGTAACTGGTGTAACTTACCCCGTCTCTCTCACGTCCTCTTTTTGTGTCCCTCCTCTCCCGTTCTGTCCTCTCCTCTCCATGGCTTCCATCTCTTCCTCTTTGTCTTTCTCCAGCTCCCCTGCTGCCCTCCTCCGACTCAGAACAAAGTTAATGTGCTATACAGCTCAAACTCTGGTCGATGGACATATTAACTTTGTTGCTCTTCCTTCTTCTTCCTGCTTTCGCTGTCTCTTAGATTTTCTCTCTCTCTTTTACGTTTTCTGTGTTTATGTCCCATCTCTGTCACCTGGGCTGAAGCAGTTCATCTCCACATCCCTTCCCCTTCATTCTCCCTCTCTTCACCACCTGGGCTCGACTCTGTTGTGTAATGGTTGTTCATTGGCTGACTTACTCCCTCCCTTCTTCCCCCTCACCTCCACTCACACTGTCTCTCTCAGGGAGATCAGCCCTGCACTGGGCATGCTCAGTAAATCACCTCTCCCTAACAAGGACCCTCATACGCTATGGGGCCGCTGTAGACCTGCAAGACAACAAGGTAAGAGCGGAAAGTTTCTTCCTGCTGTTGTTATTAAGAGGGATTAGACTTGTACTGTAAAGCAAATTAGATGAAATGACTTTCACACATCTCAGCACTATGTTATATTCATGATTTTGTCTCTGGTAGGGCGAGACACCGCTCTTCCTCTCTGCCCTCCATGGTTGCTATGACACTGCCAGACTCCTCCTCCTTCATGGTGCCAACCTTGAGCTGCGTGATCGAAGGGGACGTCGACCGATCGACGTGGCCAGAGAAGGCATGCGCCACCAGATCCTGGAGCTCCTACTAGCTCACCAAATTCAGAGAGGGCCTGTTCCCATCGACTCGGCCAACGACATGATGTGGGAGGAGCGCGCTCTGATGTACTCGCCATGGGTCGGAGCACAAGGCCTGCCTGGAAGAAGCGCCTCCTTCTCTGGGATCGTAGGACATCGAGATATGACCCCGCCGCCACAAAAGTATGGTTTCACAAATATAATGCGCGTAAAGTTTACAGTTACAGCTAAAACAGTTAGTCAATTAATCAGTTAGTCCATCGACAGAAAAATGATTGGTAGATATTTGAACCATGAAATTGTATTTGATTGGATAAAACATGTGAAGCCAGCACTACTTTTCCAGCCTCTCTGTTAATGGATCCTGTCTAATATCGTGATGTCTGTCTCGTCTTGCCAGTGATTGGTCGATGAACAGAGTGCAGTACCCCTGTCCTCAAAACTGGCGACCACAGCTCAACCAATCAGCAACAGCTTTGGTCCCGCCAAGAGTCATGGGCCGTTCCCCTCGACCAATCAGCACCTTACAGGAGGTGACCTCAGAAGACGAGGATCGTGACAGGCATCAGGAAGCCCCCAGAGCTGTGACGCCTCACTTCCTGTCACCCCAACCAGCCCCTCGCCAGCGTTCCTTTTCCTGCACCCAGCATGCATTGCAGCGTCGCTCCAGTGCCCACCAGCCAGAGCCCAATTATATTATTGTGACAGACAGAACAGCCATTGAGCCCATAGAGAGAGTGGTTGTTTCACCTCCCACAGATGCTGCCACCCAATCAGATCGCCAGCCAGTTGTAAATGGTGATAGAGCAGATCCCCACAGAGCAGAACAAGCAGCGGTGAGTTCAACAAACACAGAGCAGAAATCTAGAGGTGAGAGGTCAAACAACACTAACGACTCCACACAGACAGCCTTGTAGAGAAGAGGAAAAAGCAATGAAACTTCAGCTGCCTTTCCATTCAGCCCATAAGAATAGGAGAATGATGATTGCGGTGGTTTAATAGACCTAAGTTGAGAGGGGCACTGAGTTTTAGTTTGGCATCAGGCCTATCTTGTTAATCCCAATGCAAAGCAGAGGGCTTACCAGTAGGCCCACAGCTGGAAGGGGTCCAGCTTGTATTTACTGTAATTTGGGAGTTAATGATTTTCCAATATACATCTGTTGGGTGTCACATGACAGATTTGCTTGTTAAATTACTTATTTGTTACATTCCTGTCAAATTAATACTCAGCAGCACTTGGAGATGTTCCAGCCCGAACAACCCCTTCTGTTTTCATTCAGCCTTGCCCTAAATTATTATTATTATTATTATTATATTTTTACTAGAGAGGAGGATATTAATTGTAAATTTTATGTTACATGGCACAGTCAAATAGGTGATGGAGCATGTTTGACATGAATGCCAATCAAATGTGATGAATCTGGCAGTCAGTCTGCAACTGAACTACAGTGTGTTCACATTGTCTTCACGTGTAACAGGTTACATTCTGTTTATTGGAGAAATATTGAAGGAGAGATTTAAAAAAAAAAAAATGAAATATGTGCACAGTTACACAAAGACGAAGAATCATGTTGATGCATGTAATAAAGTGACTTTTCATTTAAGTAATACAGATTTTTAATTTCATTTTCCAATCCCTTTACATCAAAGTCAACATGAAGGCTATAATCTCAAAGTATAATCTCATGTACCAATTATTTTTTTTCATCTTTATCAACAAATCAGATATCACATCTTGAACAAAAGGATGGTTTTATGTTTTCATTGTGTTGACATTATGGCTTCATTAATACCAGGGTAAGACTGTCTTCTTACAGATGACCAACTGGGAGGCAGAAGCCAGGGAGGTTTTCAGGCTGAAGGTGGAGGCGAGTGTTCAGCTGTTTCCTCCGCTGGTGAGGCGATTAAAAAAAGAAAAGCAACCTGACAAAATGTTTGGCCTCCAACAATCTGATGTCAAGGAAAAATAAAAAAGTGAAAGTAACATTATCTGCTAATTCTGGCCATCACAAAGTCAATATTTATTTGACATGGAACAGTAGCAGTAACATTACTTTCCAACATTACCTAAAAAAGATAGTAAGGTAAAAAGGAAAAAATTACAACATAATCATTCTAAAGTGAATAGAACATGATAAAATCTCAGTACATAACCTTAGGTAGCTGAAGTTGGCCATCAAGTACAACAAGTCTATAAAATATAATATTTTCAATAACATTAGCTGCTAACTTTGGCCATCACAACTCTAATAAAACATAAACAGTAACAGTTACGTTGGATAAAATGAAAAGAAAAACCAAAGTTACATTAGCTTCTAAGCTTGGTCAGTGAACATCCATTTTCCTGTTAAAATTTTAAAAAATCTATACCTTAAGCTGCTAACTTTGGGTGTCACAGAGTTAAAATTAAGGTAATGCTGTATGCCGGTAAGATTGCATGACCACCATAACTCTCTCACCTGCACAGACATCCTTCTCCCTCAGCTGAGCAAGGACCTCTGTTTATATAATCCCTTTCTCTCCTGGACAATCAGACTGGGCAGAACCAAACTTCATTCATGGGTTTAAGTCTATCTCATTTATAAAGATTAACACACAAAATATTTCTACTATCTGTAAACACCAACAGTACAAAAAAGACGTACTTGTGATTTTGTAAACAAACTTTATAATCGCTCCAAATCAGACAAATATTCATTAACACGGTATATTAAACTTATTACCACCCCCACAGTCATGGTATAACCTGTGACATCATTGATGACATCAGCAAGAGAATAAAAGAGGGAAGTGTTTGGCCGCCACCCCCTATTTTAACTCCTGGAGTTCATGGTGAGTATGGATTACCAAGGTGCTCACATTTAAACCAAAGTCTTTTAGAAATGTATCTATTTAACCAAAAAATACTGTAACAAAACAGAATGCTAACCACAAACAAACCTGTTATACCAAGTGTTTCCACTATTAAAGATTAAGTGCTAAACAAAGCATGAGATTTGTGTTCTCAGAGTTGCTGTATACACACATAAATAACAAAGTTAGTAAGTTAGCTGCTAACTTTTGGACATTACAATTACAAAGATAGCTGCTGCTAACTTTTGTCTTCAAAAAGATAGTGGTAAGATAAAATAAGAATATGTCAGTAGCATTAGCTAGAAACCAAGGCTAGCATGAATATAAGCAGTGTCACTATCATAAATCAGATATTTTAAGGCTAGCATTAGTTGCTAACCTTCCAAAGTTTTGGGTAGCATTAGTTAACCTTTGGAGAGTAGGCTAACATAAGCTGCTAACTTTTGGACCTTACAATTACAAAGATAGTTTTAGCTCTTCCTAACCTCTGAATATTACAAGGCTAGCTTTAGCTACTAACTCTTGCACAAAGGCTAGCATTAAACTACATTACACAGTGCTAGTAACATTAGCTGCTAACATGTGGAATACAAGGCTAGCATAAACCTAATGCAGTGCTAATCAGACATCAGAGGTTAGCATTTGCTGCTATCATTACAAGGCCAGCATTAGCTGCATCCGTTGCAGTTCCAAACATATGTCCCTCAAACAGCCTATGTAAAGTTGGCAAAAAAATTCAGTCCTTGTGAATTTGTAAGGCAGGAGGGTTTTCATTGTCACATTACCATGATAAAAGAAAAGCTTAAATGTCTCTTTGTCTTGTCTCACTCTGCAAATATGTTACTTTTTAAATCATGAAACAGTTTTTAGTCCATTGTAGGATGTTACCACACTTCTTGTATTTTAATAGGTTACATAATCAACACACTTATAGGCACCAATCAACACCAGGGCTAGAAATACTGCTTCAGAAATATCATTGTTAAATGTAGTATATGATTTAAATGTTAATGCTCAACTTTTTTTGTTGCTAAAGATGATAGAGCTCTGAAGGTCCTGCAGCTCTACTTCCCCCATCTACCTATAAGGAAGAAGGAAAAGTTATCAGAGCCACCACTGAGGAGTCGCACATGTCATTTATTGGCATGCATCCTGTAAGTTTTGCTTTAGGTTTTCTACTTCAATAAGGGTTGATGTTTGTACTGCTTGATATGCTTGATAACTATGAAGGTGATTTAGTGGTAGAATGTTTGAAAGCAAAAGAATAAACTGTGAATGTAAAATTAAACCCATAAAATTAAATTAATGAGACAAAAAAAAAATTAAATAAGCAAACAAACAAAAAAAACTGTAAACAAAGAATAAAATCTATTTCAACTCTTACATTTAGTTGACAAAGACTGTATTTGAATACAAATTTAATGTGTTTGCCTTTCGCATGTTCGCATTTGGCCATATTTGGATATGTTTACTTAATGTTTGCAATCAGTAGTTTTTGGTGATCATACTTTTTACTTTTTTTGGGGGATTTTGATACTTTCAGGATAACTTAATTTCAGTTATATTGCAACACTATAAAAGTGACAGATGTGTAATTAACAGGTGGGGACCAACATGGTTGAGTATTTATCACATGCAGAGACCTATTAACCTTTCCTGCACATTTGTGCCTTGGAGATGAGATGATGATTTGCCAGGCCTTCATCATTATTTCAGGCCACGCCATCGAAACAGACTCTTCCCTGGTGGTTTTAGATGTTTGTTTTAAGGCTTTCTTCATGTTTGAAGTCAGTTACACAAGCCCCCTCCCACCTGGAAGTTTCTCTATAGCATGAGGTGTATTGTAGCCTATCATGTAATTTGTATTCTTGCAAAATAACTCGTTTTGGCAGAAAATGACATTCAATAATTGTTACATATTATTATTATTATTTTATTAATATAAAAATATGAAGGCAATGAGACAGGAAACGTAACTGAGGTTGAGGTTGTTATTTTTTTTAACCCAGCAGTTTTTTGAGTGTATGATAAGAGGCAAACTATATAACTATGTTATATTGATCTGTAAATCACGTGAATTGATTGCATGCAGTATGATTGTATACAAGTATCCAGAGCTTTGATCCACACGCGTGCAAGTGATTGTCAGGCACGCGCCGTTGTGGATCAAAGCTCTGCTCTGCATTTCAACCGTATGCTTCTTTAGCGCAGCTGACATTCAGTCTGTTTTTCCTTTGAAATTTCACACTCTACATTTCTTCTTCATGTAAATACGCGCACTGTACGTGGGGGGGTTACAACTCTTCCTCGTGGGAAAAGGGGAAATGGCGCTGCATTTACAACTTTACTACCTGTTAAAACTGATACATCAGTGGAAAGGACGACACAGGGAGGAGACACTTCCCACATTCCCACGCGCACTCACCTGCGATTGAGGTGCAAATGAGTCCCAGTGAAGGAAGAGTTCCGCAATATGAGCAAGTTTTTCTACTGACGCAATTCAGGGATAGGGGAGCGTGCGGCTTACTGTTTTACGCACGTCGAAAAATACCTCATTCTTTCTGCAGTAAATAGTGATTTTGTCCATAACAATGATTCTTATCCCCAATTTAATCTATTTAAACAGGTTAAACATTTCACATTCTTTTCACTCGATTTCAAAGCAGGAAGAAGTGACATTACGTACGGGAATGGCACTTTTTACGCACGGCCTTAACACCTTTATCAATGTGAAATTTAGTTAGTTCAAATTGAACCATAAATCTGGCTTTTGACAGCCAGTCAGTTACGTATAAATGTATGCATGTGTTTAGTGTTGCTGGATGTTTTGGCAACTTCGATGTATGTTATAATTTTTTCGAAGTGACGAAGAAAGGGTTAGCCTGCGTCAAACTGTGAAATGTCGCCACATGGTGCCTTTCATCCTCACGTGTGGCAGCACAAGTCCACACCTCGCTCCTTCAGACACGTGCCAGCAAACAATTAATGAACACACAGCCATTGTTTGGTGATTTTTTCCTTTTGTTTATTTACAAATGACAAATAAAATAAATTAAGGTGCAAAAATACTTAATAAATGACACAATTATCACGAGCCGGCCTGTGGAGGCAGTAGCAGCACTGGATGTGATCATAATAATTTTACAGTATCTACAAATGTGTCAGAATTTACAGGAAGCAGAAGGCCCGTGTTCAATACATTGCACTGAAAATGTCCTTGTAGAAAGACAAATGAGCAACACATGCTGTTGTATGAATCTGAATCAGCATGTTAGAGTCATTTAAAGTTCAGTTTCTTTAGTAACTCAGGGCCAGGGCCTCCACAAAGACTGGCTGACCGGGTGGCTTTGCGACGGACTCTGTTTGCTCGCTCTACTCGCCACTTTGTGGGGCTGTTGAGGAGTTGTGGGAGAACGACGTGATTCTCCCGGGGTCTGAACACAGCTGGCCACATTTGAGACGGGCGTGCACAGTCTGTGTCCGGACCTGTTTATCAGCAGCCGAAGAATAGATCTGGACGTCTTCCTGAGAAGCAGAGATCTGGTGGAGGAGCGGGCCTCAGTTCTCCGCTGGACGCCTGCAGAATCAGAGTCTGAACGGGCGAAGCGAGCAGCAAAAGATGCGTCCAGCGCTGCTCCGAGCCACAAGCCTTTCCCCTCAGGTCCCAGGAACTGAGCGGCTCTCTGCAGGCAGGTGGAGAAGCCGTCTTGGAAGGAGTGCTTCCGGCCTCCGCCTCCACCTCCAGCTCTCGTCTTGTCTCCTTTGGCAGTGTTCTGGAGGAAGAGGACTGTGTGTTCGAGTATCTCAGCTTTCTCCACCCTGCGCTGAGTCTCCTCCTAGGACACAAACAAAGAGTTAATAAGCAATTTCCCACCCCCACTAAAATCTCTTTAATCTTATAGGCTGGACCAACTGACCACCAGAGCCACGTGGCCTTTACCTGTCTCTGTAGCAGAAGAGTCTTCAGGCTCTCCAGGCTGCGGTTCATTCTCTCTCTTCGACGTCTCTCCACCTGAGGTTTGAGACTCTACAGAAACAGAAACGAGATAATAATATTAATGAATGAATGATACTGCAAGGTGAAACTGTTTCAGTCCTTTCCAAATGCATGCTTCTGTCCCACATACAGGGCGATGTGCATCTCAGGTGAGACAGCACTGTTAACAATAATAATCTGTAATATTCCATGAAGGCATAAATAATACAAGTACCTTCTTTTGGGCCTTTGCGTCCTGTGAATCCTGAAGTAATTTCATGGTTGTAGTCCAAGAACTATCCAGCAGTAACTGCAACTGTGTCGGTCTGTCAGTCTGGGCCGAAAGTGACCACACAGGCTTCAGTGAGGGATTTTAAAGCCGTGGGTGGGCGTAACTTTAGGCTCCTCCCACCACCCTGGTCGCATGCTTCATTTCACTGCAGCCACTAAACTCAATTTGTAGACGGTAACAAAGTCGTTAATGTTTGTAAAACATACAATATTGCAAGTGAACCCCCTCTCTGTTGTGATTCTTATTTTCCTATATTTTGATAGTCTTTCACAGTTTGATAGTTGGCGTGGAATCAGTGGAAAAACAGGTTAATATTATTAAAACATGATAAAATGAAGAATGTAAAACAAATATATTCATTGATTGTCCCTGAAATTCCTTTTCTTAATTATCTATTTAATACACATTTGACAAGAGTATGAAGATGAATGCAGAGGGAATGGCGCACCAACTAGGACCCTTCACTAATCCGCAGCCACGCGCAGCTGTCCAGCCGAGTGTCAGCGGCACGCGCCCGTGAAAGGTGTTGGCAGCTCGTGTGACCCTTATTTACACGTGTGAGAGAAAACAACAAACATCCGCCAACACAGCTGGAAGCGCAGACAAATGACTGTGGGTGACTCATGCCAATTATTATGGACGCTGAAACGAGTCTTGTCGGGTTTCAGGTTGCCCCAGGCGAATTGAGACAAAAAAGGAGTGTGGAAGAGGGAAAAAAAATCTGGTGAAATCGAAAACATTTTGAATAATCGCTCATTCAGCGATTCCTTGGTGCAGAAGTTCTGTAAAATCTACAAGAAGGAAAAATGTACGGCTTGCGTAAAATCCTTTATTTTATGCGAATCGTTGTAAATTGTTTTCCTTTGGTTGTTGATGTGAAAACACAACGCAATTCAGTTAATTGATTATTTCATTTCAAACGTGATTCTTAAACTCCAAAGAATCTGCAAAGTCCGCTGAACATTTCCACTGTGTGCCCCGCGTAAAAATATCTCTTACGCGCGTCTCCGCAAGTTGTTGTGAAATAATGACATTGAAACCAAATGGCGACATAGATTTGGTCTTGAGAGGCAAACGCGTGGGAACCCGAATTCCACCTCTCCTCCAAACACTCTTTGTTCCGATGTATCGATTCTAACAGGTAATAAAGTGTGAATAGAGCTCCCTGCTCGCTTTTCCCATGAGAGAGAGTTGGAGGAGCCGCTCCCACGTCTGTCTAAACGAGAGCTGCAAATACGCATCTCACAACAGAACCAAACTGGATCAACTTGCGCTGCGCTCAGCTACTATTTTACCACTTTCCAAGCAGCATAGAAAGCAGCACGTTTCTGTAAAACGACAGGTATTTTCAACGGACAAACGTCATCATTTTACAGGTGACTCATCAAATGACTGTATAAAGTTACACTGACTCTCGTCACAGCCTGTAACGATTAATCTGAACGTCTTACGTGTAGGCTGCGCGTGGGAACCCGCGAGCCACCTCTCGCCCAAGCACGCTTTGTAAACGGGGTATCGGTTTTAACAGGTAATAAAGTGAGGATGAAGCCTCCTGCTCCGCGATGAGAAAGAGCTGGAGGACACTGTCCCACTGTCACACGTTATTCGGCGTTTGTCTACACGTCGCTGTGTCAGACGGCAAATGTGCGTCCACTAAACCCCCATTTCTTTATTGCCATTCAATTTGGAAACGCGTAACCATTTGCCTCAGGCCCCCTGTTGCATCCTAACAGTTCATCTTCATGTATTCTTATGTGCTGGAGGAAATACTCATCCTTCACTTATTCCATTATAAATAAGTGTCCTGCATTTTAAACACTACTTAAAGGACAAGTTTACAGTTTTTGAAGTGCTGCCTGTGTGTGTGTTTTAGCTATCATCATTCCTCCTGTTCCCTCTGGGCATTAAAAATCCCAAAGCGCTTATAATATAAGTGATGGTTTTCATTTTGTCCATCCAAAGTAAATCTGAAGTGAATAAGACTTCAACACAGAGACACACTGTTCATTTCACCTGGAGCCTCATGTTAGCTCCACATGAACCTAATAGCTGTTTCAATGCACATGTGGGAAGCTGCCGATTGTTTTAAGACACACTTTAAAACAGTCGTGAGCCATGTGCTTTCTTACAGAAGTATTATAATACTCCTGCAGAAAAGTTGCCCCTGTCGCTGACAAATGATTATATCTGATATAGATTTTTTTTAATACTGATGCAACAGTGTGTGTGTGCAGCATTTTACTGTTGTAGAGCTAATTTTAACAACTTTATATATTTATTTAGTTAATTTAGTCCAGTCTGGTTCCCAAGCTTGGGGGTCAGGTCCCTCCAATGTGTCACAAGAGAAATCTGAGGGGTCATGAAATGATTAATGGCAGATGATTATTATTATTATCCTTTATTAAGTTTAAAGACTTTTCTCTTATATTTACTTATTTCGTAAAATAATAGATAATTTTATGCCTCTTTGTGTGTGAACAGTTATTTAAATGAAATCACTCTTGGGGGGAACTGCTAACATTTCTGAAACATGACGAGGACCTCAGGTCACAAGCCTAACGGCCGGAAACCACTGGTTTAATCCTAATAATGTGTAGTATTTTATCATCTTAAAATATTTATTAATCTGCAAAGTAATTAGTAATCTGGCCAACGAACGTAGTGAATTTAAAAGTAAAATATGTCCTTCTGAAATGTAATAAAGTATTAAAATATAAAGACAAAATGCTCCAATAAAATCAATAGTCTGACGTCATAATCACCTTCTGCTGCTGATGTTAGTGATTATCATTTTTCTAGAAAATGTCCGGATGATGTTTACTGTCTTTTCACAGATGCGCTCTACACACTCAGCATGGGGGGGGGGGGGGGGGGACCTTCAAAGCCTCTGATCGCCTCCACAGACACGCGCGGCGGCTCCAGCAGCACGCGACAGCATTTCGCACCTTACTCAAACGCGCGCCAGCTGAGAAAAGCTTAACAACTGACTGACTTTACCATACACACAATTATAGACGTCGGCTCTGTTTAAATATATATATTTTACATTAGAGGAAGTCCTACTTGTCAGCTCCGTCGGCATGGATTGGGTTACATATCTGCCAGAGACTGCTGAGTTAAGATGGATGTTTGTGTCCTGCTGATTTATTGTTGGAAAGATCCATAAAAAGTGTGGCACGCGCCAAACCTTAATTCAGACAGACACGTCACACACATTTCCTGGAAAAACTTAGAATATCCAACCATTGTCTGAGGGAGGATTGACTAAGTTCTTTAAACGTAATGCCCTGAAATCACTTTCATACCGCCTCACATCACTGAGATAAGTGAGTCCATCAATCCACAACCAGTGTTATCCTCACTGGAAGATATTTACAGCCTGTTGAACAGAAACCAAAAGAGAGCGGTGGGTGTAAAAGAAGTAAAATGACGGGGCAGGCCTGTTGCGTAATTTGCATTTGTGTGACAAGTGTGTGTGTGTGCGCGTGGGAACCTGAGAGTCCACTGTCCTCCACACACGTCTTTTCATGATGTACCAATTCTGACAGATAATAAAAGTGCAAATAGACTGTGGCTTTCCTTTTCCCACGGGAAAGAGCCAGAAAACGGTCTCCCATGCCGTTTCACTTCAGTTACATCAGATTCGCCCACTAATGTAAAACCGGGAAATGCAGGGGTGCAAAAAGTTTAAAAAATAATTAATTAAAAAATAATAACATTTCATACATATCAAATTAATAGTGGATCCTCCTCTGCAGTTCGGGTTTTACCTCGAAGTGTAATTTCTGCACAACCAAGTTACCCATTAATGAATTTAATGGTTTATCCATCATGTTGCTTCTCGGCTTTATAAAAATGTGTCTCTGAATTCCGGCCTCAAATAATCAATTTTGCAGTCTCATAATCCACAATCTATTTATTTATTTATTTCAGTCTATGATCAAACTGCCACGACAGGACAAACGACCTCGGACTCTCCACACAAGATGAAGAACTTCAAAGTGCAGGAGGCGTTAATAAGACACGTTTCGTTTCCTGCGGCCTGACACCGGACACGCGTAGAAAACAGATGGAGACTGAATACTAATCACAGTGAAAACAGAGGCGGACATGACTGCGCTGGTTGTCACGGACAAGCTATTTTTGACCTGATGTTGAAGGTTCTCATGAGAACAAAGAGTATTTAGAAGAAGTACAGTACTCGAGATAAACTTGAGAGTGACTCTGCTTAGACTTTACATGTAATGACAGAACATGGCCTAATGATGTAAGAAATGACTAAAGAACTGCACAGTTACAGTAATGAAATAATGTTGTCAGCTCAGTATAAGACCAGAATAGGTGATAGGAAACCTAGTTACGTTCTAAAACTAAACAAGACTTGTGAAATGGTTTAAAATAGTTTATTATTTAACATTTCCGCTGTAAATCTTTCCTGCTCTGGACTATATTATCTTTTTATTTTTTTCTTGGTTTAATCCAAAGGCTCTCAGGCTGAGTGAATGAGGTGTGAACAGGGCTATCTTTGATGTCTCTGAAGTGAGAGCTACTGCTGAACTCTTCCTCCTCATGGCCAGACTTCACACCTGGAGGATGTAGCTCTGCAGGAAGCCACGCTTCACACCTCAGACTCTAACTAAAGAGAGCTGTCAAAAGGCAGCACCATACAAAAGGCCAGCAGCGCTTTGCATCACATTTTAAAAGGATCGATGACACCACGCATTTTAATTTTAAGAACATTTTTTTATTATTTTTTTATATATAAAAAGGAATACAGCTCACCATAGGGAGACATCCAGAATAAATTAGTGTGCAAAATAGACAAGATATATATTTAAAGAGAATACAAGTTATATTGTACGCAAATGTCATTCAGGCCAGCAGACATCATGGCACACAGGTGAATGTGAGATGCTGTATGGGGCTCACCCAGCCTCGAGCCCTGACTTCCCACACCTGGAAACGTGACGGACGGACACTCAATCATTATCCACTTCAGTATCACACTCTTGAATCATGATAGCAGGTGTAGCAGAGGGTTGTAGCAGTGTGTGAAGGAGGAGGCAGACTCTTCTCTCCATAATACTCACCTCTGAACTCGCTCCTCTGCACAGCAGCAGTCCCGGCCGGACGGCCCCCGCTCAGCCACGTGATCCAGCTCACGTCTGTCCCAGTCTGGGAGAGTCCCTGTGCCTGTGTCAGCAGAATAGACGGCTGTCCCGCTGTCTGAGCTCATTCAGAAGCATTAAACAAGAGTCGTGAGTCAACCCTATCACACATACAGCACATGTACAAATGAGATTTTTTACATTATTTACAGACTTTGAGGCTGTGGGTGAACACCAACACTGTTATGAGTTATCAAAGACCGTGGTTTGCAAGACTACAATGCAGATATTCTTTAAGAAACAATACAGGTGGCACCAGTGAATATCATTATAGTAATAATAATATATATTATATTATTATTCATTTGTCAGAGTCATTAAAAGTTCAGTGTCAGAGGTGATGATCAGGGCCAGGGCCTCCACATAGTCTGGCTGAGCGGGCAGCTCTGGGACGGGCTCTGTTTGCTCGCTCGACTCGCCACCCTAAACTCAAGCTGACTTTGTTTCTGAGGCTGTTGGGGAACTCTGGGAAAGCCTTTCTGGACCGGACGTTGGTAGGGATGAACAACTGAACTGTTCACAGCGTAGGCTCGTGTATCCAGTCTGTGCTTAGACTTTTGCCGAAGCATCCGAAGAATGGACTTTGTCCGTGGCAGAGAGCTGGTGGAGGAGCGGGCCTCAGTTCTCCGCTGGACGCCTGCAGAATCAGAGTCTGAACGGGCGAAGCGAGCAGCAAAAGATGCGTCCAGCGCTGCTCCGAGCCACAAGCCTTTCCCCTCAGGTCCCAGGAACTGAGCGGCTCTCTGCAGGCAGGTGGAGAAGCCGTCTTGGAAGGAGTGCTTCCGGCCTCCGCCTCCACCTCCAGCTCTCGTCTTGTCTCCTTTGGCAGTGTTCTGGAGGAAGAGGACTGTGTGTTCGAGTATCTCAGCTTTCTCCACCCTGCGCTGAGCCCCACCCTGCAAGAAAACATCAGGATGAGTTAATGGAGTCTGCTGAGGCCTGAATGTTGCATAATGAACCGCTGTCTCAATCAGTTTTCATTTAAATCCAATGTCAAATATTATGGTAGGCCATTAGGAATCTTAACATGTTTTCATTGCCGTGATACAGTTTCCTACCTAAATGTAATTGTACCCAGATTTCTTCTATTTGTTACTATGTTCTCTCAAAATATCAAGTGCACTCAAAGCTTTTGTTTTTTACCAGTTGTTGTGGCTCCTGCAGCAACATGTTTCTCAGACACTCCAGACTGCGGTTCATCCTCTCCCTTCGACGTTTCTCCACCTGAGATTTTATGAACTAGAAGAGAAAAAAAAGAAAACATTGTGAAGTTGACTTAAGTCAGCTGTTCAATTTCATTCACTCTCATTAAAAGTTTTCTCTCCTAACATTGATTTTTGGGACAAGATGGTTCTTACTCAACTCTAAATTTTGCTAAACCATGTAATTTGAGCCATAGTTGTAGCTGAGTAAAAACAGCAGTTGTTGTTTAATCTTATTTTACCTTTCTGTCGTTTGTTGCATCCTCCGTTTCCTGTAACAGTTTCATAGTAGCCGATGGTCCAATGCTGTCTGTCCTCATCCAGTGGTCAGAGACGCTCCTTCTCAGTCTGCAGCTGATCAGGTAATGAGGCTCTAGTCCCACAATGCTTCTTTTACCGCCTCCCTGCCAGACCCTCAGACCCCTCCTACTCTACCACCCAGATGTTACACTACACCTCCTCCCCCTCCCAGCCACACCATCCGCTCCCACCCCCTCCCCGGTCCCGTCGTTTGTTATAGTCAGTAATAGAGACCATTTTAGATTTAATGTATTTATCGTAGACTACAGTTTATTTTGCTTGAGATACACACAAACACAGAAGAGTATGAAACCTTACACATTACGCACAGAAACCCCGTGCGTTAAAAACCCCCATACGTAAAATCACAGGAAAATACAGGAGTCGAAATGTTACCCTAAAATATTGAATATTTAAATTCATGGTTTCTGTTTTTAGGATGAGAAAGCATTTGCCCCCCCTGATGAAAACGCTTCTTTTTATCTTCGTTTAATTTGGATTTGGACTTGTAAGAACTTTGCAATTGCTTTTTGAATCATAAAAATAACACAAAATGGCTTTAGCTTACGTAAAACTAGACTCTTAACAAATCCAAACATGGACAGTTTGTTCGGTCCAATTGGAAAAACATTTTTTAATGATGATAATTTTCATTTTTCGTAGGTATCTCCTGCTCTAAAATGATGTTTTTATTGCATGTTAATTCTTTATTATAAAGCCTGCTGTTCTAGGGGGACTTTCAGTTTCCCTGTGGTATCAGTGACCTAATATAAGATTGGACAGAGCAGTAAAATCAGTACGTGCGCCACTGAGAGAACATGAACCATTTGTGTTGAACGCACCATTCGAGGTGCGAGTCACTGAAGGAGTTGACACTTCTATCCGTCTGTTCTGCTGGTTTATTAATGCCCCACAACTTGTGCCGCTCCCCTCCACGGCGAAACTTCTGCTGCCAAATTGATAAATTATAACCTACTTCGGTCTTCTCACAGTGTAATCACTTATTAGTTGTGTCTCAACAACGTCACTTTTGAATGTTTTTTTCTTCTTCTGCTTAATGCATCTTTCTTTTCGTTTCTCTTCACACCAAGCGTGCGCTCATTTACAGTGCCGACGCTCGCGTCCACACTTCGCCATCCACACTTGGCGCCTTTGCATTTGTTAGTCAGTCTGCGCGGTGGAGCTGTAACAATGGTTAACACTTTACATTCACACCTCTTTGACACAATAGGCCACGCGTGCCATTTGGGCCGCTGTCTCGTGCTGGCGGGCCTTTTTTCAGCGCCGCAGTTGTTTGACATTTGCTTGTGAAAGGTCTTTGATGCTTCCTGGCGACCGTGGGAAAGAAGAGTGACAGTGACGACGCGCAGCTTTTTTGTTTTATTAACATTTGAACCAGCGGCTCCCAAACTGGAGACCGCGGAGCCTCAGGGGTCCTCTGCTGGCGGCGATTAATTAGCAGCCTTTAACTACATTACAGCTGACGCACACGGTTATAATCCTATTGTATTTAACTCCACACGCCACAGCCCCGTATCTCAGCTTATCCGTGTGGTTAAAAGAGAGGCCTGTTCATTTTACTGCGTCCAACAGCTCCACGGAATATTAAAACAAACACGTTAAAGCAAAGAGACATACAAATAAAATGAATTCATCTTATCCCAGACTGACACCGTGATGCTGAGATCAGGGCTCTGTGGTGGTCAGACCGTCTGCTGCAGGACTCCTTGTTCTTCTTGTCTCTGAAGACGGTTCTCCATGACTCCGGCTGTGTGTTTGGGTTCATTGTCCTGCTGCAGAATGAACTTGGGACCGATCAGATGCCTCCTGATGGTAGACTGCAGAGAGAATGATCAGTTCATCCAAATACAACAGAGCTGTGTTCACAAAATTAAAAACTTACTTGTAAAAACACCAACATCTCCTTCCAGAAAAAAACATGTACATATTACATGGCCGGTTATGGCATCTTGGGGAAAAACCCTCTTTGGGTAATTGTTATATTGTGGCATGATTTATTAGTGAATGTCTACTGTTCTACTATGTTGTGCATATTTATTGTGTTGTTTGTATGGATGTCTTTTTATCCACAAGGAGAAAAGATAAATATTTACCTTTCAGGCTCTAACTTTGGCTCATTTACAACCCTATTAAAGAGTATGCCCCCATCAACATCAGCTCATTATTCAGAACATTTCTTGGTTGATATTTAGCTTATATTGATGTAAATTCAGTAACTGATTTAAAGTTAATTGAGTCTTTTGAGCTGTTGCCCAATTCATAGTCCAACCACACTGGACAGTACAATAGAATGCAGTTCAGTTTTAATTGGATCTACTTCTTCAGTAGAAGTGCTCTGTTCACAAGATTAATTGGCTGTTATTATGAGATATTACGTTATGATAAAGATGCATCACTGTTCATTTCTAGCACCGTAAATTAGATTCCATTCACCTCTGTTGCATTGGGGCAAAGAAAAACATCAAAACTTGAGTAAATAAAACCAAAAACTATTTTGATGGCTAGATACCGTTGTTGGTTCAATTATTTTGTAATTTGAGTGAACCAGCCCTTTAATGCAGCCCCTTTATATAAATCAAGCTTTTGTATTATGACCATGACTCAACATAAATCTGTCCCGATCACCAGCTGGTTGTGAATACAGAGAGTCTTTATTGTAAAAGAGGTAGAGAGAATACAGGTGTTTCACTGTACAGAAAAAAAGACAGCACTGTTGATATACTCATTCAAACCATTAATATGGACTCAGGCACACTTCATTCATTTTACAGGGACACATAAGCCCGGTAGAAAAAAAAACAAACAAAACAGAGAAACAAACACACAAAATCTTTGGATTTTTCTCTATTGCCCTCATTCACTAAATGCATTCTCTCTTTCTGAACTGTTAAAATGAAAATAGTTGTAGCACTAATAATAAAACAGCAATAATATTAATAATGATATAGTGTGCTAAAAACAATGATAATGCAGTCCCACCCCTCCCCATCCCCTTCCCAACCACAAACACACCTCAGTAACATGTCAAAAGTAGTGAACAAAACAAACCCCACAACCCCAATAATAAAACCACACTTGCATGCACACAACACACACACATTTTCACTCTACCATCCGTGCACTCAGCTAATCATACAAACATAATAATGACCAACGCTGAGCGGTAAGAAAAGAAAACAACGTACATTTAAAATAACCAAACCAAACAAACATACAAAAACAACTGCAGCCAAGTGGGAAGTATGATATCATTCTTTCTGTCTTTTTCCGTCATCAATCTTTCCGTCGCTGTCGTTCCGTTCCAGTGGGCGTGGCCATCAGTCAGAGTTTTCCGAGTGGTCGCTGTGGGGAGAGGTGCCAGACGGGGGCGAGTTTCGACCCTGCCAGTTCCCGTTTGCCTGAGAGATAGAAAGAAAAAGATGCGTGACTTATGTCTGCATTTTACTTTGCTCGACGTTAATGTGTCACTTATCTTATCTGTGATTTTAGCCCCTTGACCACAAATGGTGTAAAGTGTTACAGCTGACTATTTCACACACTCAAAATGATTCAGATTAATTTCCTTTCTTCTCTGCAGCTACCAGTAACAGAGTACATATGAATATAAACTTCAAAAGACTTTAATTTGATGTAGATAATACATAACAGTTAACACCACATAAGGTTTCGTTATGTTACATTTCAAAGTAATGCAGTTGACAGCGACTTGTCTTTGAAGGTGTGTTAAGGTGCTTTTCGGAAACATTACAGCCAAAGAATTCAACGTTCTGAAAAGCAAAATCTGGTTGTTTTATGATAAACGCGTTAGCTGTTAAGCAGCTGGCCGTCAATTCCGGGATGTCTGACTTTCCAAAATCTTCAACACATCTGCACCAAGAGAAAGCTGCAACAACAACTGCAGAGTGTGATGATGATGCTGACGAACTGTGATGATGATCACTCTGAGGCAAGTTTCAAGTCTCAGAGTTGATTTTCAAAAAGTTGATTTAAAAAAGAAAGTCAGACTTATGCACCCGAGAAATAAAAATAGATGAAATTTAATAAATGTAAAAAAAAAATTTAAACCCTAAATATTATTAGATTAAAATAAAAACAGATAAAAGACAGTGACATATAATAACATTTAAAAACATGAAAACAATAACATAAATGAATAAACATAATAAATAATGGCTGCAAAGTATTCTAGGCTAGAAGTAGGTTTTAAGTTTGTGTTTCATGGGATTTGTTGACAGAAAATAAAATACACAATATCACCAGTCTCATCATTTCAATGTGTGTTTAACTTCTTTCATAAGTGGTGTTACGTTACCTGCACTCCCATTGGGTAGGCGGACTGCTCGCCATTCACAGGTGGAACCCCAAGGAACAGGTCAGCTGACCCGGACAGAGAGAAGGACCCAGACCCTGAAGAAAGAAATAACAAGACGGCAACCTCAGTACTTGTGAGTTTTACATACAGACATTAACAGTCCTGTTTTTTGAGTAGGGTTCTCTGAAAACAGTATTGCATAACATATTGACTTGTGGAGGATTTAAAAAAAAAGTAATAATAAAAAAAAACTCCTGTGATTAAAAAAAACAAACTAACTAAAGTAAACGCAGCAGACCTGCTCAAAAACACACTAAGATTAAGATGAATCTTTCTGCTGCAAAATGACTCTGGTTCTTTACAAGCTCACAAAGCCTCGAGTTATACATTGAGCTCAACACGTGCTGGGTGGAGACAAATTGAATCAGAGAAGGGTGGAACTAACAACATATTTCACTGCCTCAAGGCAAATAGTTTTATATCGTCTGCGAGTACCTGTGGAGTTGGGAGTGTGCGGGGAATCGTCGCCCTGTCTGGCCCCCAAGGCTGTCTTCATGGCATAGAGGTTGGCCTCCTCTTGGAATTTGCCAATGTTTTTCTTATAGCGAATTCTCTTGTTGCCAAACCAGTTGGAGACCTGGTAGCAAAAGAAGAAAAATTCTC